ACGCAGCGTGCTCTAGCTTTGCTTTTGTTTTTTAACTAAAAACTTCGGGTTTTTTTTTTTAGAGTAGTTGTAGGGTCAGAGTGATGCGTTTTTTTCAAGGTAGGGTCCCATGAATTCTTTCCTGGTCTGGCTTCGAACCACAATCCTCCTGATCTCTGCCTCCTGAGTAGACAGGATTACAGGTGTGAACCACCAGTGCCTGGCTCACAGTGAAATTGAGAGGAAAGTACAGGAGCTTCCTATTTATACCCCACCCCCAACATGCACAGTGCTCCCCACCAAAGCGGTCCAGTCATTCCAACTGGTAACCGTGCGGTCATGCCCAGTGCCACCATCCACTGAGCAGGACCCTCTTGGTGTCATGCATCCCATGTGTGAGCCAGTGTCAGATGACAAGGATCCACCATTGTTGCATCATGCATACTGTCCTAAAAATGCAGCCTGGCCCTTGACACATAGACCTGGGGCCATGGTTTTCCCAGCCTTAAAACTGGTGGGGAAGGGAGGACTGGAAGTCATCATAAAACAAGAGCCTGAAGTGAATTTTGCTTGGTTTGCAATGTGAGTTCATGGCAGCTTAAGAAAAAAGAAAAAGAAATTGAGTGGAAGAGCATACCCTGGCTCCTGAGCTGACTGAAGAATGGCAGGGCTGTCACCCGTAGATTAGTTGGGCACAGTTGAGGGGCTGCCTTGGCATTTTCTAAGCATATTATTTAGGAAATTTCATTAGAAAATGAATATACATTTCTTGTAGAGTAATGTCTCATTTAATGTCTTTGATCTTACACCAGGTAGGTTCTATTATTTCTGTTTTGCACTTGAGCAACTAAGGCTCAGGAGAGGTGAGTGACTGCCCCGCATCCCACAGCCTTCAGGGGTGGGCAGCAGGCCTAGTGCAGGTGAAGCCTGGGCGCCATGTTGGAGGAGGGCCTGCCTCCAGGGTCTTGTGCTTGCACACTCCTTCAGTGTGACGACGAGTGCCTCACTGCCCTCTGCTCAGTGTAGACCCTTCTTCCTGATTGCAAGGCTGCGTTATGTCCAGAGGCTGCTTCCCTCTCTTGCCTTAACTTGCCACCACATCCCAAGCCTGGGGTCATTCAGATCTTTAGGCCAGCGTTAGGATGTCACCCAGTTTCTGTCTAGCCCAGGCTCCTCCTTTGGCCATGAGCCTGAGATAGTGTAACAAAGTGGACACCAGCCCCTCTGACTTTGTGTTCTGGAGACCCCTTCCTTTCACCCCTTTGTCCCTGACCCATCTGTGAACATCGCTGGCAGCCCCTGCCTCAGCTGGGTAGGTAAGCATTGGCCACCATGACCTTCTGACTCCCAGGACCAGAGACTTGCCGCAGATGTTTTGCTGGGCCAGGGAGATCTTTACTTCCTCCAGGGCTGCACTGGATATCTGGGCCTAGGATGCAGCTAGTAACAGAGCCATTAAATTGGACTCCTGGGCTGGGTGAGGTAGCTCACATCTCTAATCCCAGCTACTCGAGAGATAGAGATCGGGAAGACTGAGGTTTGAAGCCAGCCTAGGCAAAAAGTGAAACCACTCCCCCCCACCCCATCTCACACAGGCTAGGTGTGGTGCTTCATGTCTGTAATCCCTGTGGTGCTGCATATTTGTAATCCCAGCTGCACAGGAGCCATAGGTAAGAGAATTATGGTCTGAGGTGGGCCTAGACAAAAAAAAAAAAAAAAAAAGAAACAAAGTGGGAGATCCTATCTGAAAAATAACTAAAGCAAAAAGGACTAGAGCTTGTCTCAAGTGGTAGAGTACTTGCATAGTAAGCACAGGGCCCTGACTTCAAAACCCAGTACAGTAAGTAAATGAATAAGTAAAATAAATGAACTCCTAAAGTCCCCACACTGGGCTTCAGTGCACTCATCTGTCAGACACGTCAGCCCTGCCTTCTTCCCAGAGCTGTTGTGCCATCAGGTGGAAAATCAAAGCTTGGGAAAGTCTTAAATATTAAGCAAATGTTACTGGCTATGCAAATTAATATCATTTGGGGGTCTGGAAGCCCTCCCTGCCATTCCCCCACCCCCGTCCTCCCTGGCACGCCACCCCCACACCTCCAGCTACCACAGTATGGCTAATGGCTAGACCATCACAGACAGGCTGAGACATTGGGTGCAGATGCTGGGGTGTAAAGTCAGCTCTGAGCCTGGCCTTTCAGCCCTCTCTGAGGTGAGGCTGCAATTGGGCCATTCCCCCGCCTCCTTGCAGCTCTGTAGACTTCAGTTTCAACAGCGTCACTTCATCTTCATCTTCACGCTCTGTAGTTGCTGTCTGACCTGCTGTCTGCCTGGGCCCCTTTCTGCACTTAAACCTGGCCTTTCTGGTTCCGTTGGGCAGCCCCAGAGCCCCTCCAGGGCAGGCCGTGGGAAGCTTCCCTACTCCCACTTGGCCAAGGTCTTGTTTTAGAAGGTTTGAGCTGGCTGCCTCTTTAGCAGTGATTGGTGGGGGGGCTGGAAGGGGTTGGCTCTTTTGTCCTGAGAACAGTCCCCTCTGCAGGAGAGGTTACCAGAACCTTGCTGACAGAAGATCCTTCCTGCCTAGCAGTTATCCTAGAAGGCTGTGGACCAGCTGGGCCTGCGTTAGCAGCTGGTACCTGCTTGGCCTTCTCTATCTCTCTGGCCTGTGGCGTAAGGCCCTCCCTTGGGCAGCTCATCTGATCCCAAGGCTTCTCCCAGCAGTCTGTATCTCCTGAGTGTCCCCCACCTCCTGCCTGACAGCCTGATTTCTCCCACCCCAGGCTGCAGTGGGGACAACAGCTCTGCCTTCCCTGTTGTGCTCCCTGTGAGCCCTTTCTGTTGACTCCTTGGGCAGTAGTGTATTGTTTGGAGGATGGGGGGGTGTCAGGTTCTGAGCCTATCACCTGGTCACTGGACATCTCTGAGGGACCTGGCTGGTTCTGGAAGTGTGTGATTGTGCACAGTGCCTGTGGTCAGGAGCTGCAGTTAGGCACCACCTGGAATGCTTGAACCTGGCCTGGGAGAGGGGCAGGGTCTTTTTGGCCTTCTTGCTTTGGAAGGAGGCTTGTCAAGGCTCTGAGGCTCTGCTCCGGCTCACTCTGAATATGCCCGAGCTACAAGGTGGGCTGGGTTCCCACTCCCCAGAGCCTCTAGTCTTCCGAATAAGCCAAACATGGAGGGGAAAATGACCCAAATCACCTTGCAGTCTGTGTAGGGTGCCTACAGAGTGGCAGACAGGAATCACGACACCTGCTGCTGCTTACCACATAAGGCAGCCCTCAGTTTCCCCATTCTCAGTGATGGCCCACCTTCCTGGAGTGGTGACAGGAGCACAAAGATGTGTGAAGTGTATTCTACCCAGTAAGGTCTCAGCACATGGGCACACGCTCATTCCAGGCAGGCATGTCGTCCCTGGTGGCAAACTCAGGAGAAGAAGGGCAAGCCCAGCAGGACTCTCAGGCCACCAACACTTCTGAGGGTCTGGCTATCTGCTAGTCAAGCTCAGTGCTCTACCCACCCCGCTGCACTGCTGTGTAGCATTGACCTTTCAGGTTAAAAACAAGTCACCCCCAAGCTAGTGGTGACTTTCGTGTTGGCGCGTGGGCAGCTGTCCTTTGTCCCATGGGGCCCAGTAGGGTGTGGGTGCCTATTGCCATATGAGTTCATCTCGTGTTTGTCAGCCTTTGGGAGACAGGGGCTGCTTGTCAAAACCTCTTAGTGAAACCCTCTCCAATTCTTAGGCACAGGAAGCAGCTTGTAGGTACTCAGTAGCCCAGGGCTATCAGCCTACTTGAACTCCCTCCACTGCTCTGGCCTGACCTATTGAGAGAGCCCTGGGTCCCATCCCTGGGAGTGGAGCAGGAGGTAAGGCCTCAGCCCTCCCAGCAGGCTGGCCAGCGTTGCATCTGCCCAGATAACCGGCTCTTCCCTTGCCTCCCTTAACACGAGGGTAAGTCCAGTGTGTCTTAGGCTTGCTGATCGGACAGAATCTTCTGAATGTTTAATTAGCACCAGTGATGACTGGTGAATGGCGGTGGTATTGCTGTTAACCTTGCCTCACTTTAGGCTTTCAGTGACACCAGGTTTAAAAGGCTGCAGAGGATAGAGGATGCCTCAGTGAAACAGGTTTTCCTTTGGGTTGGCAGTCTTGGGAGGGAGGTTCCAGGGCTCCCAAAGCTTCTGAGGCTGAAGCATGTTGGTGAGTTGTTTGTTAGAGAGGCTGGCTCAGCATTTCAGCCTCAGGACCTTTGCCCTTATTGTTCTATGCCTAGAATGTTCTTCTCTGTGAGGTCTCTCCTGCTTCTCCATTCAAAACTAAAGTCCCTGTTGTCCATAGGCTTTTCCATGACCTAAAATACTGTGTTTCCAGCACCCTACCGCCTCCACTATTAGCACATAGTCTCCTTGAGGGATTTTGTCTGTTTTGTTTGCTGGTAATCCCCAGCACTCGGTAGTGCCTAGTAAGGGAAGCTCCATAAGTGATTGTCGTGTGGGTGGGTGGGTGGGTGGATGGATGGATGGATAGATGAATGGATGAGTAGAGAGTGTGTGTATGAGGGCACAGAACCAGGACTCTGAAACCACTTTGCAGAATTTAATACAAAAAACTCACAGCACAGATAGACAATGTTTTGATGGAAAATTATTCTGTTCCTTAGAACTGAAAGGGACAGACCATTTGTGACCTGAGACCAAAGGAGGAGGGTGACAGGGTATTAAATATTAGTTGGGGTTTTTCTTTCTCACTTCGAAGATCACCGTTTTAGTTTACTCTACAGTTGACTGCTGTTCCAAATGAACCAGCAGTACAGTGAGGCTGCTAAAAGAAATAGAAGCCATTCTTGGGTTACATTAATAGAAGCCAAGGGCTGTCAGAGTGGCTAAAGTAGTAGAGTGCCTGCCTAGCAAGCAAAAGGCCCTGAGTTCAAACCCCAATACCACCAAAAAAGAAAAAAAACAAAACCTAGAAGCTGAGTGTCCAGATCAAAGGAGATGACTATTCTGCTCTGCTCTTCTGTGGTCAGACCAGCTTGAAGTGATCTGTTCTGTTCTGTGTTATGAAGACTGCTTTTTGGAGCCTTGGCAGACCAGAGCTTCTCCAGAAAAGATACCCCACGGCCTGGCCAGCCCTGATGGACTGCTGTTGTCCTTACAGCCAGGTGGGCACCATGCAGGGCTGAGCCACACTCATGGAGGGGAGAGGACCCTACCGGATCTACGACCCTGGGGGCAGTGCACCTCCGGGAGAGGCGGCAGCTGTTCTTGAGCGCCTAGTGGAGGAGAACTCTCGGCTGAAGGAAAAAATGCAAGGGATAAAGATGTTAGGTAAAGCAGCCCATGCCCCCTGCTGGTAGGCCCCCTCCCCACAGCGTAGCCACTAGCCCCTCCGCCTAGCAGGGGAGAATACAGCTGGCCAGGGCGGTATCTGCCCAAATCGCCCCTCTGTTTCTCCCTGGCCAACAGGTGTGTCTTTATGCACTTGACTGTATTCCCGGCCCGGATCCCTCACCCCCCAGAGGTGCCTACAGGGTCCAAGAGGGGTGTGTGGGAAGGGAGAGAGACAATGGAAGGCCCAGTTTGTGGACCTGAAACCAGAACGGTATCTTTCTGGGCATGAGAGATGGGGAGAGCTTCTGCAGCAGGGCCTGCAGGAGGTGCCAGGCTAGGGGCAGAGCTGGCTTGAAGCAAGGTACTGCAAGCCCCTCAGCCTCTCTCCTGGGTCCTGCTCCAGCTGTCCCCTCTGACTAGAGCAGCCCCGCCTTCCTCCACATCAGCCAGTTGTCCTAGGCACCTGCTTGGGGTCAGCTCTTCCATGCAGGCCTTCGGGATCCCCACTTTCTAAATTCCTGAAGATCTTCCTCTGCCACCTTCTCTGGTCTTCAGTTTGAGGCGAGCATAGCTCGCCTGACTTTAAAAATGCTTCCTTTCTGCTTGGCAGTCCCCTGCTTGGAATGGCAGCTGCAGAAGGGAATTGGAGGCAAAGAGTGCTGTGGGTACACTCTGGGTCTCCGCCCTGGGGCACCCTGTCTCCCTGGCTTAGTTGTGGCCACCTTAGGTGCAAGGTAGAAGGCCCTAGAGAACTCTGTGGAGGGCCTGCAGTGGGATGGTGCAGGATGCAGGGGCCAGGAGGTTTTCCTTGGCTTCCTCCTTCCGGTTTCCCAGCTTGCTGGTCCTCTGCCTTGATCTGACCTATTTCTGGTGGCAGCTCAGAATAGGCCACAAAGCAGTGAAGTCAGAACCTGAGACTTAAAAGCCAGGTAGGGGCAGGTGTGGGGCAGGTGGGAGAGCCAGTGCACCAGGCTGAGCTTTGTCTGCTCCTCCGTCCCCATCCCTGTCCCTAGGGGAACTTCTGGAGGAGTCTCAGATGGAAGCTTCCAGGCTGCGGCAGAAGGCAGAGGAACTGGTTAAAGACAGCGAGCCACACCCACCAGCTGCCCCCTCCTCAGGCTCCTTCGACCACCTGGACGAGCTCACAGGTACCAGAGGAATATGGTGACCCTGACTTCCCTGTCCTCAGACTAAATCAGTGAGCTTCCTTTCCATGTTGAGACCCACAGCACTATCCCGAGGCCACAGACCACTTCCCATTCCTGTTTTGGCTACTGCGCTCCTTAGAAGGTCAGATCTAGAAGGGACTTCAAGATGATCTTGTGGAAATTGGCCTGTGACTCAGCATTCCTGAGACCCTGGCAGACACTGATAATCAATCACGATGGCCCACTGAGTGCAGGACATGTCCTCAGGACCTTTATCAGCCTATTTGTCCAACAGATGTTTAGTCAGCAGATGCTGTGTGTCAGGCACGGCACTCGAGGCTGCCACCTCCTGTCACTCAGCATCGGTCCTCCTATTTTAAAAACCTGGAAGCTGAGGCACAGAAAAGAATCTGGGCTCCTGATCATAGGGGAACAATAACCAGAGGCTGAAGTCCTGTGTGTCTAAGTCCAGGGTAAAGTCTGGGACCACAGAGGACAAGCTCCCCCAGATACCTCTGCTGCAGCGCCACCTTCCGGCCTCGCCCCAGCATGGGTGACAGCCTTCTCTTTGTCTGGTGGTAACATTTGCAGAATGGACAAAGGAAAGTGCTGATCTCAGATTCCACAGTGTTGCAAGCCAGCAGACATTTCCAGCCTCTACTTGTCCTTTCAGCATTCCAAGTCCTGATGTCCATCTGAGTTCCTGATTGGTGCCAGGGTCCTTAACCACCCTTACGAGGCTCTCTGCAGCCAGCACCCAGAAGGCTAGGGGAGTAGAGCAGAATTCAAGTCACGGTTTTACAATTGCTGGCTCTGTGACTGTGCAAGTTGGGGACCTTGCCAAGCCTCAGTTTCCTTACTTTTAAAATGGAGATATGGGGCTGTCATGAGGAGGACCAGGAAAATAGTTATGCAGCACTTGGTTAACTGTAAACCACTGTCCTTATTGTCACTGAGGCAGGTGCATGGTAGCAAGAAATGGTGCCACCTTGGAATTTTCCCACTTAAGTCCAGGGAAGAGGGTCTTTCTGTTCCCATCATTCTAGGCCATTTGTTTTCCAAGGCCACCTGGGCCTTGTGGGTCTGCCTCCCAACTCCCCTGGAGAACTCTGGTTGAGAGCTCTTCTGTCAAGCATCGTCTTTGAGGGGCTGAGATCGAGGCTTCTCCCCTTCCAGTGTCTGCACCCGTGCTCTCTTAATTTTCCAGGGAAGGATACAAATGTCCCGGCACCTCCCATTGCCCATTCGTGCTCCAGCGACAAGCCAGCTCCAGTCCTGAAACCGCCATCCAGTGTAAGTTGCATTTGAAGTTGTGGCTGGAGGTTGCCTGACCTTGTATCTGCTGGCAGATACAAGGAAGAGGTTTGGGATCAAGACACTGTATTCTGATTAGTCAGGAGACATTGAGCAAGTCAGGCCGAGCTCTGGGAGGCATCAGTTTCTCCATTTTGAAATGGAAGTAATAGTTAAAATTTACCAGGATGACCCTGGTGTGTGCAAGAACTTTCTCTAGCTGGATGTGGTAGTTCATGCCTGTAATCCCAGCCACTCAGGAGGTGGAGATCAGGAAGATTGAAGTTCAAGGCCAACCTGGGCAAAAAGTTAGTGAAACCCCCATCTCAGCAAATAAGCAAGGCATGGTGGCATGTGTCTGTGATCCTCCTAGGTGGAGGATTGCAATCTGAGGCCAGCTCCTGGCAAAAATTCAAGACCCTACCTGAAAAATAACTAAAATAAAAAAGGGCTAGGGCTGTGGCTCAAGTGATATAGTGCCTGTCTAGCAAGTGTGAGTTCCCAAGTTCAAACCTCAGTACTTACCAAAAAAAAAAAGAAATTGCTCTCATTTCCTAAGTTGGGCACTGTGAAGTATGTACTGACTGTGTACAGTGCTCAGAAAATAGACAGTTGTGGCATGGAGCTCATATGCACTATAAAGATGGTCTGTAGATTTGGCTTAAGAAGTTTTGCTTGGCATCCTATGGACCAGTTAGTTTAGCATCTTCAGCCAGGTCCAGGGAGACAAAGCTTCTGTCAAGGTCCCACAGACAACTGGGGAAGTACAGAGTGTAAGGGGGCTTCCTAAGGCAGGGCTGAGACCAGAATTGGGGCTGTGGTGGCCATGAGGTTCAGCTGTACATTGGGTGCGGTTTCTTCCCTCTGTCATGCCTGTCCCAGGCCGAGGGAAGGCAGAAACAGTCTCTGCAAACCAAGTTCAGTGGAAAGCCTAGGGCCAAGTGCAGTTCAGCTGAACCATAGATGTTAGTTGGTTGAGCAACCAGCGAATTTTACTTGGAATGAGCTGAGAGGTGTGGAAAAAATATGGATTTGTTGGCCACCTTAGATTTCGGCGAATCCCGGAAAAGTCTGTTATCTGTTGAACCATCTTTGGGGCTTTTTTCAGATTAGTCCACTCCTCTAAGATCTCTGGGACTGGGTTGGCTAGGCTGGCATAGAACTTCGCTTTCTGATAAAGGTAACTACTGCCGCCTGTGTTACCCAGGGAACCATCAGAGACATCTGCGCCTAGGAGACAGCTCTGGTGCCATTGCAGGACTTGCACTCTTAGGGAAGGTCCTGCTTTAATGTTAGCTAACTATATGGCCTCAGTTTCCTCATCTATCCCAACGGGATATGACGCTCTGATCCACTCGGTGAATTGCTCTGAGGAATCATAGAGTTCATGAAAACATTTTAAAAGTACAAGGCCTCAAAAAAAATGTAGTCCTGAAGCGTAGTCAGCATTAGCTGGTCAGCATCCCTGTTTCACAAATGAGGAAACTGGCCCTGGAGCGGTTGTGACCTCAGCTTACACAATGGTGAGAGTTACGGTAGCTCATGCAGAGGCAGAGCCCTGGGGTAAACAGTGTGAGGAGAGATCTGCCCTTGCTGCCCTCAGTGGCAGGGTGCTAGAAGAGGGCTGGGGCATTACTCTCGGGCAGCCCTCACTCCCTTTCACACAGGGCACCTCCTCTGAATTTGAAGTGGTCCCGGCTGAGGAGCAGAATTCTCCACCAGAGGGCAGCGGCCACACCAGAAACATGATGGTAAGTGGCATGTCCTACTGTTTCCCTGTCTCAGTCACCTGCCCCTGTGTGAGAGGCACACAAACCACTCAAACCCCTTGGGCACCCTGGAGTCACATGGGGAGCTTCTTGCTCTCATGCACATCCCTGGCTGATGACTTCCCTGACTCAAGGAACATGGGCGTCGACTGTTGTGAGAACTGGGGCACTTTGCCAGCCACATTGGCCTCTGGGTCAGTCACCTCTGCAGGCTGTGACTCAGCTTTTTGGGTCTGTGGGCTCCTAGTCGGGGGGAGGAGTAGAAAGGGTCCAGAAGACCCTAGGCTACTTAAGGCAAGTAATTTACCCTTTTGTGCAGGCTCTCAGCTCCTTCCAGGAGCACACAGGTTAGAGGTTAAACTCTCTACTTACACACATGTATACAACAGAGGCATCCGCACACACCATCTTCCAGCTCTGGAGTGTCTGCCCGCCTCCTTGTTTTGTATATTATACCACTTGCTGTCTTTATCCCAACTATATCTTCCTTCTCTCTTAAAATGGCAGAATGATTGGAGAACCGTTGTGAAAGCTCTGGAAAATTCTTCAGAGCCCCTTTAAATTCCTATCTTCCCATCCTCCCTCTCTTCTTATTTGGAGTTTTTAGATGGGTATGATGTCAGCAGCACACACGCTCACCATTCACCATTCCCTACTGCCTGTTTCACAAAGGTCTGGGTGGTTGATGGTGTTCCTTTGTTCACTGATGGTTTGGTTTCTTCTGTGTCAGTTCCTGCTCAAGGCCCCAGCAAGTGGCCTGCCAGTAGCCTTCAGCACTGAGAGACTCATCGCCACTTCAGGTGGCTCTGAGCTTGGGAAATGGTCTCTGTTTTGTCTCTTGGGACCTTGTGTCCCTAGTCCCATTCTGGACAGAGCTCTGAGATGCTGGCTAAGGAGACAAGATCCCCTGCTCAGAAAGGTTTCACTCTGTGACCTTGAACCTGTAACCTTATCTCTGTCATAAGTTCCTCCTTGGCCTTACAATGTACCTACTTTATGCAGAGCCTAAACCAGAATGCCCCTGCCTTCTGGAAGCCTGTAGGCCAGTTAGAGGCATCCAAGGGATTTGAAGCACCTTGTGAGCCTTGAGTAGAGCAACAGTGGCTGCCTTGAATCTTTTGTGGAAAGAGGCAATGGAGAAGAGGTGCAAAACCAGAGAAGCAGCACTATCTCTGAGTGGAGCACAGCACTCACATGGAATGGGTGTTCACTGAGTGCCCAGCACTACAGAGTCAAAGAAGGTGAAGGTCAGCATGGCAGAGCCCAGGATCTCAGCCAGGCATGGCTGACTGCCATTGGGTCACCAGGCAGCTGTGGGCAAGTTCCTTTTCCCTGTGCCTTGTTTTCCCAGTCCGGACTCCAAGGTCCTTGAAACTCTCATGTCCTGTGAGTCCCATAAATGTTGTGAGAGCTGGAACGTGGGCTGTGGGGCAGGGTGAGCGGGACACAGAGGAGGACACTGGGAATGAAGTTCAGAGAACCCTGGGGCCTGGTGCAGGAGTTTGGGCAGGGAGAGTGGTGGGGAGGCTAATGGCTGCTGTCGCACATGGGACGAACTTGATGCTGTTGGGCCTCAGATGCCTGGCTGGGGGACCAGGCTTGATGCCATCCTCAGGAAGATGCCACTGTGGGTCCTTGGACCCAGGCACGGTCATAACCAAGGCAGTGTCTTTGGTAGGAGCGTTCTAGAGAGAACAGAGGAAGTGGTCTTGGTCCATTTGCCCACAGTCTGCTCCATTTCTTACATACTTTACTAGGCTGGGATTCTTTAGAGTATCTAGAGCTATGATTCTTAACCTTTTTTGAGTTTTTATCCTCCGAGAGGCAAGTGAATGTTTGGTCCATTCCCCAGCAGTGTCTCTGAGCTAAAGAAGCAGGGATACGAATGCAGGAATACTCTGGGATTGCTGCTCTCCTGGGTTCATTCCTCCCATCAGCCCTGCAAGGCAGGGAGGGAAGGGAGTGTACATTGAGTAGATTGAAGTGCTGAGGCCTGGGGAAACTGTGGTTTGCCCACAGATATTCAGCAAGGCCCAGAGTGTGGGAAGAAAGTGGCCCTGGTGTTGTTCAGCCAGCCAGTGGCCTGGGAGTCCTGGGTCCTGCCCTGTGACTCAGCCCAAACAGGGAACCTGTGTAATTGGAGAATTTCCCTGGGCTGAGCTGGGGCCAGCTGGAGAAACTGAGTCATGAGGAATGGGGAAGCAGTGGGAAAACAGGCTGGCATTGCCTGTTCAGGTCTTAGTGAAGAGTGGTCCATGTCCCCTTGTCCCCACCAGGAGCTGGGCCCCCTCCCCCATGAGGACAGCAACCTGATGCTCCACCTGCAGCGCCTGGAGACCACCCTGAGTGTGTGCGCTGAGGAGCCCGACCACAGCCAGCTCTTCACCCACCTGGGCCGCATGGCCCTCGAGTTCAACCGACTGGCCTCTAAGGTGCACAAGAATGAGCAGCGCACCTCTATCCTGCAGGTGAGGAAGGCAAGGGAGGGCTGCCAGGGCCTGGTGAGTGTGCTGCTTCTCTGTCTCCCTACCCTTCAACTCTTCTTAGGATCCAGGGGGACCAGCAGGACCTCTGAGGGCTATTTCAGGCAGACTTTGGGCTTCTTATTCACAGTGGTGAATGAAGTAAGGAAGTTGTGGGAAGGTATGAAGAAGAGGAAGGAAATGGGGAAATCAAGGTGGGCACTGCAGATTTCATGGTTGGGGTAACGTGGGAGTATGAATGTGGCAGGGTGGGCATGGTCCTACCTCTGTTCTTTTTGTGGGGGGTGGGAAGGGAGGAACAAAGGTCAGCTCCTTATATGTTTGCTCCCTGGGGTAGGAGCCATTACTACGCCCACCTCACAGGTGGGGAACGAGTCCCTTGGTTCAAAGTCACCCAGCTGGCAAGTGATGGATCTGGGATTGGAACGTGCTCTTAACCACCATCCTACATGCCTCCCTGATCAGATTCCTTTTTTAAAAGCCTCCCTTTGCTGGGGGAATGGGCCCACCCGCACATGGAGTTATCTGGTCTTTGGTTCTTTATTGCTACATGGCCTTGGACAAATCACTTGTCCTCTCTGCCCCCACTGACCCCATCAGTAACATGAGCTAGGAGTGCCTCCCTCCTGGGAGTGCTGCACTAAAGGACACAGTGTACCGTCTGAGGAAGCACATGCTGGGAGAGCGTCACTGCCCAGCAGCCCCACATGGTAGTCATATATACTGAGCAGGAGAGCTTGGCCTTGGGGGCTGTAGTAGTGGGAAGGATTCTCTTGTAACTGGTCACCATTCCAAAATGGCGAGACATGTTCCTAGAGGACCTGCTGAAGACCTGAGCAGCTGTCTCCTTAGTGACAGAGCCATGACTTGAAATCTCTCTACTCTCTCGTAGTTCCTCCTTAGGTGTTAGTCATTGGTCTGTGATCTCACTCAGGTCAGCAGACATTCAGTGGTCCAACTGCTAGGAGGAGTGGGAATCCACATGAGCTAGGGGTGTGTCCAGGCTAGAGAGGCTGGGAGCATGCAGCAGGACACACCTCCCACCCTGAGGCTGGAGAAGTGATGGGACAGAGGGGACCTTTTTCAGATGCTGAGGCTTTGGGGAATCCAGGCTGAGCCCTGGGAAGGTGAACCTTATGCAGTGCATGATTACTGTGAGCATAACTTTTCAGCTCTGAAATGGGATAGATCCTGGGCTTCCTAAAACAGGTCCACCAACCTTGTGTTTTTTTATATCAGGCCCCTGTTCCTTCTTAGCTCTTATCATAGTTTGCAGTAATTTTATTTGATTAGGTGACTTATTTGCTTATTCTTTTTATCTTGTTCTCCCTGCTAGAACCCAAACTTCAAAAGGGAGAGCAGGTACCTGGTTACCACATTCACCATCCTATCACAATGACTAATGAACTCCTAGGCACGTGCTTTTAGTCCTTTTGATGCAGGCGATTTTCTTTGTGACCTCTGATGACCCTGCCCACAGGTGGTTTGTGCCCACAGCCTTTACCCAGAGACTCCAAGAAAGAGCCCTCTAACCAGTAAGGGTAAGGCTACAAGAAAGGCGCCATCCTGTCCATCCCTTAGGGACCAGAAGCAGAACATTGTGTTCCCTTGTGTTCTGTGAAGGCCTTGCCCAGAGCCATGGCATCACAAGTGTTTACTCAGCCTGTGGGTGGAGGTAGATTAATCTGGTTCCTCCTCATTCATCCATTGATTTGTTTCTTGGTTCACTCAACAGATATTTTCAATGCTAAGCACTGAGGGAACCAGTAACAGTAGTTTCTGTTTACTCAGCCTCAGACCCCAGATTGTCCTGCCATCTTCCATTGCAAGGCTTTCTACTCCATTCAGCCTTCCCAGGACTCTCCTGTCTTAGTCAGAAAGGAAACCAACTTTGGATTCTCCCTGGATAACACAAGTTTTCCCTCCTAGTCTGTGTGGCACAGGTTGTTTCTGCTCCACACGGTTCCTTAGAAACCCAGGCTACAGAGCCCTACCTCTATCAGTGCATGGAGACACCCATGTTAGCCCCTTCTACAGGGAAAGAGACCAGGGAATTTTGCATAGGCCAGTCTAGAAGTGGTGCCTGTCACTTCCACTCCTCTCATGTGGTCACATCTCACTGCATTGAACCTGGGAAATGGAAGGGAGCAGGTGGGTTGTTTTGTGAGAACCACCATCCCTACCCTGCCCAGCTCACAGGCTGTCTCTCTTTTGAGCTCCACCCCTTCCTTCTCTTTCATCACAGAAGAGACACCAGGTTAGGGCTCGTGAATGGAATGTAATCCCAGGACTGATTCTTTTCTTTTTTCTGGTGCTGAGGGTGGGACCCAGGCCCTTGCATGTACTAGACAAGTACTCAACCATAGAGCCAACCCTTGGTTTTTTGAGACAGGGTCTCACTATGTAGCTCAGGCTTGCCTTGAACTCACTGTGTAGCACCAGGCTGTCTGGAACTCTGGATCCTCTTGCCTCTGCCTTCTAGCCCTCAGCGATGATTCTTTTTGGCTGTACTGGGGTTTGAATTCAGGGCCTTGTACTTGTTCTGCAGGTCCACTACCGCTTGAGCCACTCCCTCCCGCCAGTGGTGATTTTTTTTGTGTGTGTAGTACTGGGATTTGGGCTCAGGGCCTACACTTTGAGCCACTCCACCAGCCCTTTTTTGTGATTTTTTTTTTTTCAAGATAGGGTCTCTTGAACTATTTGCCTGGACTGGCTTCAAACTGTGATCCTCCTTATCTCTGCCACCTGAGTAGCTAGGATTACAGGCGTGAGCCACTGGTGCCCAGCCCAATAGTGATTCTTAACAGTGATGTAACTCAGGCAAATTATTTTTCCCCAGTTTCCTTACCTTCACAATAGAGGTGAACTCCTTAGCTTTGGGAAAATTGTGAAGTACCCAGGAGGCAGTGTTGCATAGCTGGCACACATTAGGTGCTTAGTGAATATTTGTTGAAAGGTGAGTGGTTCCATCTGACAGTGAGCATCTCATTGCTGGGCGGCACCTTCCACTCCCCACCCATCCAGGAGGCCCAGGTCTGGCCACCACAACCTCACAATGCTCCCAACATAATCCTATTAAGTGACTGACTGCTTGAGGCACTTTTGCTCCAAAGGCTCATTCATCCTTCACAGCAGCCCTAAAGGAAGGCAGAGAAGGGGCAGTGGTCCACGTTTTGTAGAGGAAGGGATAAGTCTCAGGAGTGAAGCATGAACCACACTGTCAGAGCTTGTGAGGACCTCACCAGCACCTTGTCTCCTGATTTGCCTTTGATCCCCCAGAAGCCTATCTCACACAGTCTGCCCTAGAGGCCTCTGGGACTTGCCTATGCATTTGTTCATTCATTTATTCAACCACTCAGTTATGCGTTACTTCAACAAATTTGAGCTGGGGGCTGGGCCCCTGGTAGTGAACAGGAGAGTGAGCATGGGGTTCAGCCCTCTGGGGACTCACAGACTGGTGAGAAGAAGTGAGGGACTGGGTATTCAGAAAAGAAACACAGACACTTCTTCAGCTTTATTTGTCACAAGTACTCAAAAGGGTGAGAGGCAGGCCTTCGAACAAGACTAATGGAGGTGACCTGACTTAGTGGGTTGTGGAGATGGCATTTAAACTAAGATCTCCAGGAAGAAAAGTTAGCCAAAGGAGGGCTGTGGGGGAAGAGCAGCAAAGGTGGAGAAGGCAGGAAGCTCTGCCTGGGAAGACCAGGAGGCCTGTGGCTGATTCTTGGCCAGGCATCCTTACAGCTGGCTTCTGAAGGAGAAGATACCTGGAGAAGCCTGGATCGGCCTAGTGGCCTGGCTCCCAGTGGTCCTCCAAGGTATTTGGTGAAGCCAAGTAAAAGGGGATCCAGTGTTGGGATGTCTGCAGCCCCTCCTGTCTCTCTGTGTCTTCCTGCATTGGGGTGTACCCCATCTAACCCTCGAGTCCATCCACCTATCTTTCCCACAGACCCTGTGTGAGCAGCTTCGCAAAGAGAATGAGGCCCTGAAGGCCAAGCTGGACAAGAGCCTGGAACAGCGGGACCAGGCTGCTGAGAGGCTGCGGTAAGCCAGGGTCCTCAGAGAATTGGTGAGGAGAGGGATGGGCAGAAGTGGTGGTGCCTTACACTGATTTCAGGGCCCTATTTGTATGTCAGACCTCTTGGTCCCTTTTGACTCTCTTTTATTTTTTGGGAGGGATAGGAGTGGGATTTGAACTTGGGGCTTTGTGCTTGCAAAGCAGACACTCTGCTGTTTGAGCCACACCTTCAGTCCATTTTGCTCTGGTTATTTTGGAGATGGGATCTTGTGAACTATTTGTCTAGGTTGGCCTCGAACTGCAGTCCTTCTGATCTCAGCCTCCCAAGTAGCTAGTAGGATTATAGGTGTGACCATTGACACCTGGCTTCTTGACTCCTTTGGGTTTTTTTGGGTTTTTTGAGTTTTTTTTCAGTACTGGGGCTTGAATTCAGGGCCTTCACCTTGAGCCTCTCCACCAGCCCTATTTGTGTAAAGGGTTTTTGGAGATAGGGTCTCACCAACTATTTGCCCGGTCTGGCTTCGAACTTCGATCCTCCTGAGTAGCTAGGATTACAGGCATGAGCCACCGACGCCCAGCATCTTTGGTGTTTTTCTTCCAGGCCCTTTGATTACCTTGGGGAGTGGAGAAGGCTGGTATGAATTGCTTTCCCACCCCCAACTCCACCCAGGGGACTTGTTCCCTGGCCTGCTAACTGTTGTTGGCTGGCTGTGTGGGAAATGGCCCAGGACTCTGTTGCCCCCTGCTGGTCACTGTTCTGTCCTGCTCTGTTTTCCTGAGCACACCCAGAGATCCCTCTGCAAGGCCCACTAGTGCGCCTCAGGCTGATCTGAGGGCCAGAGGAAGGCATTAGTTGTTTATACTCCCACTCATCCTCCTCTTCAAGAGTGATTAGCAGTCTGAGGTGAGACTACATCTCTGTGATGTTGAGATGGGCCCAGCATTACACCTGGGGAAACACTGACCTTGACTATCAGAGCTCACAGGGCCCTTTGCAGGCCCAACCTCTGGTGTATGAGGGAAGATGGGGGCCCAGAGATAATCAGGGGCCCATCTGGAAAATAGAACCTAATGAAACTGTTTCATATTTCTGTCATCCCTGAATCCTCATGACCACTTTTATTATGTCCTATGTCACCTACCTTATTATGTGCTTATGATATTACTTTAATTTGTTCATATTTTTACTCAAAATTATTATAAAGGAAATTTTAACTGGAGTCAGTGGAAAACAGCATTACCTATACTAAATAAAAGGTAACTGTAAAAATAAGTACAAGCCATGACCACCACAGGCTCTGCACTCACAGCCTGCTCATTCTGTGTTACCAAGGGAGACTGGCAGATGTTAGGACCTCCTAGCACCATGCAGGCATTTGCAGGTAACTGGAGAAGGTGGAGCTTTCTCACTGATCTGTGATCGGAGTTTCTAAGGCAGACTTTGGATATATCCTGACAATCTCATGTATATAGGTGTCCCATTGGGGAAACTGTACTGTTGAGGATCAGAGGCTGTTATGGAAGCCCAGAGACTGTCCTCAAGGTGACTTAAGGATGTCCTTTTTGGGTTCCTCCTAAGAGCAGGTCAGGATTTCCAAGTTCTGGAGGCCATGCTCTCCAGAACTTAGTTACCACTCGTGTGGCTGTAGGTCGGAAGCCTCACAGGTGACTTCTCTGTTTTCCTCCAACCCAGGGAAGAAAATTTGGAGCTCAAGAAGTTGTTGCTGAGCAGCAATAACAAAGAGGGTGCCTGTAGGCATGCAGGCTCACCAAAGACGGAGGGTACCAGCAGGAAGGAAGCCACCGCACAGCAGCAGGTATGTGAGCAGGAATTCCTTCTGTAGCTTCTGCCATCCCCAGCATCTGTCCACCACCTCCAGTAACAGCAAGCTTGCTACCTCCTGCACACAGTTCCACTGGTAGAAGGTTCTAGTTGGTAAGTGGTGTTTCCACAGCTTGGCCTGTGCTATCCAACCCCCCTAGTGTCCACTCCTCAGCCTTTTTTCTGCCTGCAGCCCCAGGGAGCATCCCATTCCCTGAGACATAGCTCAGAACTCCTGGCAGTCACATGACTCCCTGGCCCCTTCAGACCTGCTTTCTTCTTGGCTAACCAGCTGTAGTTCTTCAGCTGTTGCTCAGAGAACCTGGGGTTGAGTCTTTTGCACAGTCTGGACACCAATCCCTATTTATGTTCCTGTTTGTCAAGGTCTCTCCTAAAGGGTGGCTCCCAAAAGTCACTTTAGCATACCAGATACTGCAGGCAGAATTGGGGTGCTGAGTTGAGCGTGCCTCTCTGGGGGTGCTGCTAACCTCCTATGACTGTGCCCTGGAGCCTCTGGAATGGAGAAGGGGCACCAGCCAACACCAGCGTTGTCTGACAATGCCACTGGGCTGGTCCATTTCCCCCTCCTACCACCAGGCCCTCAGTCCAGTCCCAAGTTCCCCTTACCCTTCCCCACTCCCCTAAGCCCAACCTCTTCTACAACAGGGTTGTAAACTTAAATGAGTTTTAATAGCTTCACTGTAGAGCTCAGTATCTTTATCAAAACTCACACCTATATGATAGTAGTAATTATCTCAATAACTTAATTCCCAATACTGTGTGGCAGTGCAGAGCTCACCCAGGACTTGCAAAGCTGTGATCTCATTTCATATCCCCTCTGCCTGTAAGTAGGCCGGGATGAGACGACTCTTCAGTTCGCAGCTATGGCAGGAAACTGAACAGGTCATGTGCCATCATGCAGTCAGCTCTCTGTGTCCCCTGCTAGCCGGCAGGCATGGATATGGCCAGGGAAACATGCAGCTAAATGGCAAAAGTCTTATTAGTGTTGCCACCTTGAACGAGGCATATAAACTCTCTGGACCTTGATTTCCTCCGCTGAAATGAAAGTAGTAACACGCCTGGCAGTGATTGTTGAGAGAATTCAGTGATGCAACAAGTGTGAAATGGCTTACTGTGGTATAATGTGAACTTAGCCACTCCTTTTTGTTTTGGTGGGACTGGGGTTCGAATTCAGGGCTTTGTGACTGCAAAGCAGTTGCTCTACCATTTGAGTTACATCTCCAGTCCATTTTGCTCTGGTTATTTTGGAAATACGGTCTCTCAAAGTATTTTCCTGGGCTCCCTCAAACCTTGATTCTCCTGATCTTAGCCTCCCAAATAGTAGCTGCTGCTTTTAATTACAGATTGGGGGTCATCAGCCAGATCTGCTGACTCTGTGGCTCTTTTACTCCTCCACAAGGATTCCCCTGTCTGTGTAGGTTCAGAGGTGCCACCCAGGAGCCCAGCATCCTCCCTCTTTCCCATAGCCATTGACCTTCCTAGCTAAACACAACTGTCTTTAGAGGCAGCAGCTCCCAGGGGGCAGGCCCACCCCTCCCATTCCTCAGAGGAGGCCACCTTACCAGAAGAGCTTCCCCTCTGTGCCGCCACCCCCACCCACAGTGTGCTTATAGGCCTTGGCCTATAGGGGGCACTTGTGCCTCACAAGTTCTGTTGCTCACCCCACTCCAAGCTAGGGGAGTGCAGAGGAGGTAGGGAAAGCAGGAAATGGGAGCATGTAAAAATAGGGAGTCAGAGGGTGGACTGCAAGTCAGAGGTCTGGATGGGACCTGCACAGACCAGCTTGTTTCACATTCACGTACTGAGGCTCAGAGAGAGCAGGGGTTGACCTACACACAGAGGGGCTTGGAGACAGAGCTGTTTCTGTACTCCTAGCCTTGCTCTGCAGTGTCACCAGCACACTTTTTTTTTTCCTGGTCAGATGGTTCTTTCTAATGAATTGACCATTACATTTCCAAAGTTCTGAAATGGCCATCAGACCACAGAATGACATTTCTTTAGGCTCCTGGTTGAAACCAACAGCTTCAGCAAACTGCTGGCCTTGATTTAGGGCCGTCCTCAACCCTTCTTATTTGTTCATTTCTTTAGCTTTTTATTTTGAGGTAGCTTTAAGTTTATGCAAAAATAGTCCAGAGTTCAGTTCCCATATCCCCTTTGTCTTCCTTCCCCTAACCATCTTATATAACCATATATCCATCTTATGTAACTGTGGTTCAGCTGTCAAATCTAGGAATTAAGTATTGACGAGTCACTGTGAATACACTGCAGATTTTATTCAGATTTCACCAGTCTTTCATTCATGTCCCTTTTTTGTTCTGGGATTGAATCCAGGGTCCTACATTGCATTAAGTTGTCACATCTCCTTAGGCTCCTCCAGGCTGTGATGGTTCCCAGCCATTCCTTATTATTCATGACCTTGGCACTTTTGAGCCATACCGGCCAGCTGTTTTGTACATCCTCCGTGAGGGTTTATCTGATGTTTTCTCATGATGTGATTGTGGTCGTGGATTTTGGCAGGAGTCTCACGGAAGTGACATTCTGCGTATATGAGTGTGCATAGGGCTGGGCTCTTCTCAGTACATCATGTCAGTCACACATGGTGGCCATATGTCTTATTACTGTCAACCCTGATTATGGTGGCGTCTGTCAGATCACTCCACAGTGAACTGACTCATTTTCCTTTTCTAATTAACACATTTTTTGAAGACTTTGAACATTTTGTTTCTCCTATTTTTTTCCCCTGAGCCAGGGCTTCCTACATGCTGAGCAAGTGCTCTACCACTTGCTCCACCCCCAGCCTCTCTTTAAACTCTCATGTACTAACTTTAGCACTCATTGGTGGATCTCACCTGCAGCATTTATTACTGTAGTAGTATAATGGTGGTTTTTGTATTCGTCTCATTCTTTCCACATTTATTTTTCTCACAATTTTTTTTTCTTTTTTTCTTTTCTTTTTTTTTTATGGTGCTACAGATGAAACCCGGGGCCTCATGCATGTTAGGAAAATACTCTACCATGGACCACACACCCCTTCTTTCACATTTATTAATTGAAATTTTTTTGTAAAGAAGAGTGGTCCCTTCTCCCTCATTTATTTATTCAGCTGTTTCTTTCTATTGGAATGGACTATAGACCTTTCAGTGGATAGAGCTAGGAAATACATGTGTGTTCTAACCATACACTAACACACATTTTTCTTTCTGTTTCATTCTAACAATGTTTTTAAAATAAAAGTATTATAGAACTTCAGCTTTTATAAGTTTAATAAAGCCTTTAAAAATTTGTAGCTCTTGCCTTCTAGGCCATAGGATTTGGGGCTAAAATGTGTGCCAGGGGAAGGGAGAGGGGCCAGCAGTGTCTCAGAGACAGAGCCTAAGGAAAGGTAGCTGGGGTGGGGGATGGTCTCACAGCCACCATACATGTCAGGGGGGATGATCCTCTTCATGGACTTCCAGAAGGGGAAGTGGCCATGGCTGTGATGGTTAGTGATGTCCTGGTGAGTGGGAGGAGTAGGAAAGTAGGAGATGGAGGTCCAGGACCACAGAGGTTAGGAGCCTTAGCAGAACAGGTTGTAGGGGAGAACATTTTTTATTCGAAGCTTTGGCCAAGACCATCTTTGTTTTTCCTCAGGCTAGCGTGATGGCAGGTAAGGTCCCAGAGGTGGGGGCCTTGAGTGCAGCCGAGAAGAAGGTGAAGATGCTGGAGCAGCAGCGCATGGAGGTGGGTGACTGGAAGAGGGTCCAGGAAGACCCTTCTTTCCTCCTGGGACCAGCAGGGTGAAGACGCTGTCTGACCTCCTGACTCCAACTGGTCACCATAGGGAGTTGCCATGGTCATCAGTAATCATCTGTCCATGGAAGAGGTCTCTGTCCTCTCTTGACCTGCCCACAGAAGATGGCATTTGCAGCATTGTCTAAAATTGTTGGGTGATGGTAGGGTATAGAAAGGTCCCATGGTAAACGGTGGATGGTGGGAGGAGGTAGTGAGAAGTCCATCGAGGCAGGAAGTAGAAGGCCCCTCTTGGCACACAGCCATGCAGACAGAGCCTTTCACAGAGGAGGCTCCATGCTCCCTGCAGTCAAGGAGAACCTATCCAAAATAAGCCAGGCATAGTAGCTCAAACCTGTAATCCCAGCAACTTGGGAGGCTCAGATAGGAGGATCATGCAATCCAATGCAGTCCTTCCTTCCTGTCCCTCCTCTCAAGGCTCCTTCTGTCCTCATAGCTCAGCTCCTTCCCTGGACCCTGCATCTTTCTGCCTTGAGATCCTTCTGTATATCCACATGTTTGCTTGTGTGCATATTAATTCTAGATTTATTTTTGTATTGTTGGAAGGATTTTGTTCAGATTTCAAAAATAATACAAGGCTCACAAAAAAAATCAAGAATCTCGCCTCCTAGAGATTATCACAACTGAAGCCAGTTCATTGTATAGTCCTCAAAAATAATACACTTTTTTCTTCTTTTCAAATCAGCTGTCTTCATGGGTATCTGTAACACATTCACCACATTTCTTCACCTCTTAGTGTTTTTATTATCTATAATGTTTCTGAATTCAGGCTGCCCCTTCTCATTGTTTTATTTATCTAATGATACAGAGTTGTTTTTCTTCCCTGGGGAACTGCTGTATCAGGAGTATGGCTATAATTAGTATTGTCTTAGAACTGAGAAAAGGTCATAAATGCCTTATTTTCTTAATAGCTGCACATTATCCGTTCATAATCTATGTAAACTATGTGCTATACAGCACTGGAGTTTGAACTCAGGGCCTCATGCTTGCTAGGTAGGTGCTCTACCACTTGACCCATTCCTCCAGCCCTGAATTTTTTTGTTGTTGTTGTAATATAAACATTGCTGGGATGACTTAAGTGTTTCTGTTGGTTATATTTTTCAGAGTGGAATTTTTGGGTTAAAGTCAATGAAATGTGAAGTTTTTTTGTGGTGTTGTGGGATTTTGTTTGTTTCTGTGGTAGTGAGGCTTGAACTCAGGGCTTCCCACTTGGCTAGACAAGTGCTCTACTACTTGAACAATGCACCCAATCCTTTTGCTTTTAGTTTGTTTTTCAGATAGGGTTTCATGCTTTTGCCTAGGCCAGACTTAAACCATGATCCTCCTATCTGAGCCTCCCGAGTAGCTGGGATTACAGGTATGCAGTACTATGCCTGGCTTATTTTGGATAGGTTCTCCTTGACTTTGTTGGCCAGGCTGGCCTTGAACTGCACCTCCCATGTAACTGAAAATGTGAAGTTTTAACACACAGTTCAAATTACCCTTGGAAGAGGTTGTATGCTCCATAATTGTACACTTAAGTAATTATTTCCATATCTTATAATACTTTTATTCTCCTGGCAAGGGTGAAATGAAGTGGTTGGTACAGGTGAAACCCTCTGAGGAGCATGGTGTTTTGAGCAGTGTTGTAGCCACCATTTGCACATGCTGCATGCTCCTTAGGACATTGGGGTGCAGGGACCAGGATCAGCATTACTTGTTCCCACTCTGCTTTTAACCCCAGTCTTTTCCCCACAGCTCCTGGAAGTGAACAAACAATGGGACCAGCATTTTCGGTCCATGAAGCAGCAATATGAGCAAAAGGTACGGGACTCTCGTCTGTGCTCTCTAGGTAACCCAACCTTCATACCACTTTCTTCTTGGCGGCTTTGAACCTCATAGGGGCCAAGCTGAGCCCCAGGATAGCCAGGAGGAGAAGCTGGGCAGCAGTGTTGAGGCTGGGGAAAGCCAAGCCCTGGCATGTGCCAGGCGTGTGCTGCCCCTAGCCTGCCCTCATGCCCTCCCTCTTCCCCTCAACCCAGATCACTGAGCTGCGCCAGAAGCTGGCCGACCTGCAGAAGCAAGTGACTGACCTGGAGGCAGAACGAGAGCAGAAGCAGCGTGACTTTGACCGCAAGCTTCTCTTGGCCAAGTCCAAGATTGAAATGGAGGAGGCAAGTGTGACTGCTGTCCCTGTAGTTTTGGTGCTCCCCTCCCTGGTAGCCCAGAGTCTTCAGAGTCTGCGAGCCAGGGGTGGAGTCAAGGGGGAGTCAAGGGTTAACCGTAGGACTCAAAGGCTGTGTGACCCTATGCCCTTTTCCCATGTGACAACTGAGGCGGTTAGGTTAGCTGCTGCTTTCCAAATATTCTTGTTTTCATTCTGAAGAATTTTGTTCAGTGAAAACCTTACAGATGAGGAACCACTCAGGGAAGCACATGATATAGGAGACTGGAGACATGAGCAGGCCGGTCGCTAAAACAGACAAAGCTTCACTCATTCATTACTCTAGAATCTTCCCCCAGAGCATGCCTGAGGTGTTGTTGTAGGCATAGATGCATAGATACTCTGAGTGAACCTGCCAGTTCTACCATGGTTGGAAACAGATGCTAAACTAATCAGAGGCAAATTCATAAAAGCGTGTTAAGTACTACAAAGAACTTACAGAGATGAGAGAGTGGGCATGGGGAAGCAGGTCCCTGAAGAAATGGTATCTACTCTGTCATGTGTGAATGGTGCCAGGATCTTGGAGCAACTTAAGGAGAAAAGGCCAGCTGGACATAGTGGTACACACCTATAATCCCAGCAGGCTAAGGCAGAAGATTGCAAGTTCAAAGCTAGCCTGAGCTACAAAGTGAAACCCTGTTTCTAAAAAAAAAGGAAAGCGCATGTGAGTGAGGCCCTCCGGATTTTGTTTATGGTGCTGTGTCTTCCCCTTTGGACATGGGCTTCTTTTGCCTGGCTGAAAAATGGACATCTCCAATATGGATTGCACTTCAGAGCTGCTTCTGACAGGTGATGTTTGGGCCTTGTTGCTGCAGCCTGAGTCCATAACCACCCCTCACCTCAAAGGTCAGGAAGGATGCTCCCTTCCTGCTTTCTCCTGAGTGCACAGACACAACTTGTGACTCACAGCCAGACTCCTGGCTCTCCAGTCCCTTCTCATCTCACTTTGGCAGGCAGGACAATCCTCTGACACTTCTTCCCTGTCATCTGGGGAAGGTGGGACATCTCTGGCCAAAGTGTGGCCCTGTATGTCAGGAGGCCGTGCTCCATCCCAGAGCCTCTTAAGTGGGGATCAAGACCACTCCCTCGTGTTCTGACCAGGGATATCCTGAGCCAGTTCTGGCTGAAAGCAGCTCACACACACACCCCCGCCCTCCCCACCCCGGCCGGTTTGTGGAGTATGGACTAAAGGTCACACAGGGCTGGATGAACACTGGCCCTGTGGTCTGTCTCCGATCCACGTGGTGGGAATGTGTTGTAAGATGTTGACACCTTGCAGATAAGTAAGACCTTTCCTGGGGTGCCCCCACCCCACCCTGCGCCAGGCTCTCTCCAGAGCACCAGTTACCATTTCAGTGTGTCTGTTTCCGGGCTGTTTTTCATGTATGCACACTGAGAAATACAGTTTCTTGGAGTGTGCCTGGTCTTTTCACTATACTGAGCTGCCATCCGCTTGTGAGCACTTCTTTTGAATGGAAGTGGAGAGAGCAGGGGAGCTGGGAACCCTGCTTTCTGGCTGGACATTCATTCCCTATCATGTAAAGGGGCTTGAACTTGATGGTCTCTGCTGGCCATCCCAGAGGCTGTCAGTAATGCAGAGGCCCGTTTCCACACTGGGTAGGTTTGGGAGGGATGACCCCACCCCATCGCCTTCCCTGGTTTCTTTTCAGCTACGTTGGCCTTTCTTTTTACACCACAGGGCTGTATGTGTTTCTCTGGGGGAGCAAATTCTACTGTGTGCTGCAGTTACTTTTTTTTTTTTTTGAGAGCACCAGGGATTGAACTCAAGAGCCTCACATTTGCTAGGCAAGGACTCTACCGCTTGAGCCACACTACCAGTCCTTTTGTTCAGAGTCTAGCACTAACATTGCCAGGCTGGCCCTGAACTGTGATGCCTCTGTCTCTGCCTCCCAAGTGGCTGGGATTACAGTTGTGATCCACCACACTTGGCCACATTTGTGTCTTTGAGCATTGTCTTCTAGGTTCAGAGACTATCAGAGTTCTTTTAGAGGTTATCAGAATTCATCAGTCTTGGGGCTGAGGATGTAGCTCAGTGATTGAGCACATGTCCAAGGCCGTGGGTTCAATCCCATGCTTCTGGCATGAAAGCAAGGAAGGAAGGAAGAACAAAGGGAGGAAGAGGGTAGGGAATGGGATGGGGAGGGAATTTGTTACTCTGTGGATCACACAAGACCCTGTGAATCTGTTGGAAACTATGCCTTTTCTTCTTAGAAAATGACACACACACACACACACACACACACACACTCTCTCTCTCTCTCTCTCTCTCTCTCTCTCTCTCTCTCTCTCTCTCTTAGCATTCAGTTTAGGGTCTCACAGCCGTCCTGAGGCTTCTCCCTGTCACTCATGTTAAGAACCCTGTGCCCATAGCCCTGGCATTTAGGAAGCTTAGACCAGAGCACTGGACTGGTGTCCAGGTGTCTGCTGGTTTGGTGGGGGAGCAAGCTGGTGTTGGAATCCAGGGTTTTACTCGACCAGGCGCCCCTGCCTTGAAGGTGGAATGTGCAGCATCACTGTGCTTTTCCCAGGTGACTTGCAGGCAAGCACTTATGACTGAGAGAGAGGGAGAGAGGGAAGGAGGAAGAGGAGCCCATATGAGCAAGCACTGGGACAGGCAGGCCAGGGGTCCCAGGCTGCCAGGAAAGGCCCCTTGCTTACCAACCCCATGCCCCTTATAGACTGACAAGGAACACCTAACAGCAGAGGCCAAGGAGCTGCACCAGAAGATCAAGTACCTGCAGGATCAGCTGAGCCCACTCACCAGGCAGCGCGAGTACCAGGAGAAGGAGATCCAGCGGCTCAACAAGGTAGGCACATTGGCTCCAGTCTCCTGGATAGGGAGGGCCGCCCTGAGCCCAGCTGCAATGTCCACTCCATTGCTGGTGCCCCCAATTCAGAAGGGGCATTCCTGTACTGATCAGCAGCTGACAACACACAGTTCCAGCTCCTCTGCCCTTCTTCCTCCACACCCTTTGTGATCCAGCCCCAGGAGGTGCCCGGACTAGCTTTTGCCTCTGGGCCTTTGCAGGAGCTGCCTCTTCCACCCCACTTGACCTACCCTAGCTGGAACACCATGCTCACAAAGCCTTCTTCTAGGTCACCCTGTTCTTTCATGCCCTTCTCAGGGTTCCTGGTGATTGAATATTTCACTCCCCATTTTCCCATCTAGCAGTGGGAGATGTGCACCTTCACCAGTGTGTGTGCACCAAGCATGCACTCAGAACTACTCACTGGAGGAAGCTGATGAGCTCAGGCTGGGGCTTCCCAGCCTTGTGAAATAGGATCCAGGGAGTCAGGCCCCTCCTCTCCAGTGGAGGCTGGGTAAAGTCTGAGCCAAGGTGAGGGGCAGTGGGGCAGACCAGGTCTGGGGCTGGCTGCAAGCCCAGCTTAGCCACGCCAGGTCTTGGGGCCTTATCTTTGCCACCTGCATGCCCTGTGGCACAGAGTAGAGGGAGGAGCAACCGGAGGTAGCTTGGAGAGGAACCATTCTTCTTAGGCCTGGGGGAATCTGGCAGCACGTGACTCACCTTGCCCTTCTGTGCGGAGTTTCTCCTTCCCCTGACTGGACAACTCTTTCTGCTTGGATTGATGATACAAGCCAGGGGCCTTGGACCTGTTCCCAAGGGGGAACATGACCTGTCTGGAGTTGGCCAGATGCTGTCATACTGCTCACCAGAACGGTGAACCTATAGGTTTTCTTGGCAGAATTGGGGACAGTGACACCTGTGTGCATGAGTCATGTAAAGCAGGTTCCTGCTTTGCCTGTGACCTCAAAGGACCTGAGGTCCCTGTCATAGGACCTCAGTCTTCACATCTAAAAAATGGGTAGAGTAGGGAGACAAAGTGGAGCCATCCTCTCCCCTCTGAGCTTCCTGAATTTACTCCGGGTTCAGGAGACTGATGGGTAAGGGTGGAGTCCAAGTTGGGGAAAGTCTCTCCCCACAGCCCCAGAGGCATTGTGAACAGAGACCCTGCTGTCTAGGGGCTGAAGTCCAGGTGATGGTGGAGGGTGACCGGCTTAAGAGGTGCCATAGTTCTAAAGTCACATGTTTACAGGGTCAGGAGAAGCCAGTTAATAGAAACCTTAAGAAGTTAGGCGTTACCATGAAAGGAAACATTTAGCAAGCATGGTAGACTGGGTGTGTTTCTGTTTTTATTTTCATCATCTTGTTTGTTGATGTTTCATCTTCAGTGTTAGGAAGTTAAAAGATGACATAAGTCTAACGTATCTGCAGAAATGCTGAGGCGGAAGGGCTGGCTTAGGCAGGATGGATTGCTAAAGCTGAAGAACCCAAAGGAAGCCAAGGAGTCTCAGGCAGTCGTTGAAGAGACTGAAGCTTCTGTCAAGACTAGAGGCTTCTTTTTTCAGTCTGGGAACCAAAAACTGAGCCACATCTGTTCAGAGAAGAGGATTCCCCCATCTACATGAGGACCCCAGTTTAGCCCACTGGTTAAAAGCACAGGCGGGTTGGAATTCCTGCAAGCCACACAGTAGCTGTGTGACCTCAGACAAGTCACTTGGGTCTCCGAGCCTTGGTTCTCACATCTGTAAAATGGGATGATGATCAGTCTTTCCTTCCTAGGGCTGTGGAGAGGCTTCTGTGCGACGTGTTAATAGATGGAGTAGTGTTATGTGGTGTTGCTGTGGTGGTTACTGCTATTATCAGGAAGAGGGTCCCTGAGGATGGGTTCCAAAGAGATCTGACTTCCAGGGCCCCTGCTGATGGTCCTACCTCTTCTCCCCCAATCTCAGGCCCTGGAGGAAGCACTGAGCATCCAGTCCTCCCCATCATCACCACCTGCCTTTGGGAGCCCCGAAGGAGCTGGCGCCCTCCTAAGGAAACAGGAGCTGGTCACACAGAACGAGTTGCTGAAACAGCAGGTCAGGCTTCGGGCAGCTGGCCCATTCCTGAAGGCCAACAAGGGCATGGAGTCACATGAACCTGCAGTTGGGATCCACTTCCTGTCTGCAGGCTGGAGCCCTGCCTGGCAATAGGGTTAGCTTTGTCAGCAGCATACCCCTTGCTTCAGTCTCTGCTGTACCCCTTTATGTAGCCATCACTGACCCTACCTGGCTCCTGTTTACCTACTGTGAACAAAGTGAATTTCAGGCAGGGCATGGTGCTTCATGCCCTACTACTTAGGAGGCACAAACAGAGAATCAAGATTTGAGGGCTCCCTGGGCAAAGTTAGCACAAGACCTTGTCTCAAAAACAAACTAAAAGTAAAAAGCTAGGGGCGTGACTGAAGTAGTAATGCTGAGTTCAATCCCCAGAACCACACACAAAAAAAGTAAATTTTAAACAAATACATGGCAAAGGAGCATTATATCACTCTATAAATGGAAAGATCTATTTATTCACCACAAATAGAAAATAACGTAAGAGATAAGAATAGTAAAAATAAAGCAGTGTTGTTGAACTGTGGTGAGATACTCTTGCCTAGGGAAGATTCTGAGCTTGAGTCCTCTTTCTCAGAGATTGGCAAGGACTTAAGAGAGGCATGACAGACCTGCCAGACAGACTTGCTGTCAAGAGGGATGTGGAGGACACTCTTCCAGTGTTTCCGGACTCTAATGCTGCTCTTTTGGCCTCTAGCTCATCTTGAACCTAGTCAGTCTTGACCTGCGATAAAGATGCTAAGCCACACTCTGGGTGGGAGGCCCTAATCCTCCTCTGCCTGGACCCTGAAGCCTGCGGAGAGTTTGCAGGTCCTTTGGCCTCAGAGCCACCAGACTACTCTCCCATCACAGGTCCTGTGGCCTCCACTCTCTGTGTGAAAGGACTGGACTGGCTGATGGCGTCCAACCTTTTTACTTTAAGCCATGGAGCTTTTGTTCAAATAAAGTCCTGCCTTGAAAACCAGAGCATAAGATAGAGGGACCCAGAACTATTCCTGCTGAGGCTGGGGTGGGGCTGTAGGTGCACCTATGCCAGTTCCCAGGACAACCTCCCACCGACACCATCAGTGGCCCCAACAGGATCTGTTCTGAGCTCTGGGAGCCTCTACTCAGAGCTGCTCACCCCTCACTGCCACATGCCTTCCAGGTGAAAATCTTTGAGGAAGACTTCCAGAGAGAACGCAGTGACCGAGAGCGCATGAATGAGGAAAAGGAGGAGCTGAGGAAGCAGGTGGAAAAACTGCAGGCTCAGGTCACCTTGTCCAATGCCCAGGTAGAAGCTCCAGGACCCAGGAGGGCCTTCAGCCCATCCTCACAGGGAGGGAGGGGGGTGGAGGTCAGGGTCCCTGGTCAGGACAGTTCCCCTACCACGCCTCCCTTATGACCTCAGCAAGTGTCTTGCCCTCCTTGACCCTTTGTGCAATAGCAAGGCCTAACGCCATGGTATCTCCAGTTCTGACTTCCCACAGTCAGTGCTGAGCCAGGAGGTGGCTCTGCGCCATCCACTGCTCACAGACTGGAGCTAAAAGATGTTAACAGTGAAGCACGCTTGCACACCCTTCCCACCTGTGCCCTTTCAGCCCGTGAAGAGCCTGGGCTCCACTCTGCCCCTCAAGCTGCCAGCACCACAGCCCAGGTTGGTGTCCTGGACCCAGGCTTGGCCAGGAGCCACCTGTACCAGCAGGCTTTTCTCCCCTTCCTTTTCCAGCTAAAAGCATTCAAAGATGAGGAGAAAGTGAAAGAAGCCCTCAAACAGCAGAAAAGGAAGACGAAGGTAAGTGGCTTGAGGGAGGAGCAGCACTTGTTCTCTTGCCTTCTTTGGGAGCGTGGTCCCAGGGGAGTCTGCTGACACTCTGCCAGTGAGGTAACAAGGTTCAGACAGAGCAGCTGCTGGCCCTGAGTAAGTGCTAAGGACATGTTAGCCATTGTGACCATTGGTCATTGTGGCTATGTACCAGTCATCTGAGCTCATGTCCCAGCCTCCTGTGCCTTCAGAGAGCTAAGATTCTAGATTAGGATGATGCGATGGGTGCCTCTGGGGGTATCCTGTGCAGCCTGCTGTAGGCCAGAGCCAGGTATGAATGTTTCTTGCAGGCCTCCGGAGAGCGCTACCATGTGGAGCCCCACCCAGAACACCTCTGTGGGGCCTACCCCTACGCCTACCCACCCATGCCAGCCATGGGGCCACCCCATGCCTTTGAGGACTGGACCCAGATCCGCTACCCCCCATCTCCCATGGCCATGGAGCACCCATCCCCACACCCCAACTTGCGCCTCTTCCATCTGGTGAGTCTGTGCCCCTTCTTCCTTGCAGGACACACACAGGGGCACGCCACACCTTTTCCAGAGGGGGCTCAAGTGAAGGGGTCAGAAATTGCCACCTCAGCAATTCCTAGGCAGCACAGTGGTGTCAGGCAGGGGTCTAGAGGCAGGGGTCTAGAGCCAGGCCCTGCTCTGACCTGCTCTCCCAAGGCAAGGATTCTATGACCCAGCCATTTGGGATCACTAGCATAGAGTCACTGGCAGAGAGGAGAAGGCTAAGTAAGCGTGCAGGACAGGTGAAAGGACTCCCTCTGAGCTCTGACCCAGGATGTCAGACTTTGGGCTGGACTCTCTCTTCATCCCCACACGCACAGTCTCTGAGCCTCACTGTGGGCTCTCCCTTTCCTATTCCTCTTCTCTCCTTTCCTTTCTCATATTTCGCTTTCTTTCCTTTTCTCTTACCATTCTTTCTCCACAGAGCTGCTGTCACCTTCCCCTCCTCTCCAGTCTCCCTGCCAAGGCCCACCTCAGACATCCCCAGCACTCCTCTGGACAATTGCAGTCTCCTGTCTGGCCTCTTTTCTGCCTTCCCTCATTTGACCATTCCAGTTTTTTTTTAACTTAATTTTTTTATCCTACAAAATAATGGATTTCATTATGACATTTTCATACATGTATATAATATATTGTGATCATATACAACTCTCCCATTACCGTATACTGCCTCTACTCCTCCCTTCCACTGGTCACCCCCTTCCTCTTCACAAATCTAGATTTTTTGGGGGGGTGGTTCTGAAGTTTGAACTCGGGGCCTTGCACTTGCTTGGCGGGTGAGCCACCACTTGAGCTACACCCTCAGCCCTTTTCGCTTTTAGTTGTTTTTCCAAATAGCCTCCAAGCCCAGCTTTTTATTGGTTGAAATGGGGTCTCACATACCTTTTGCCCAGGCTGATCTCAAACTGAGATTCCCAATCTCTACCACTTAAATCCCCAGCCCTGACCCTCCCCATCTCTGCCTCCCCAGTAGTCAGGATTACAGTGTGAGCCCCCACGCCTGGCTTAGATTTACTTTTTTAAGAGCACTTTTTTTTTTAATCTTTTTTTTTGTTTTGTTTAAGAGCATTTTTAAATTTACAGAGAAATCAGCATGAAGTATAAAGAGCTCTCACGTACACGCTCATCCTCCATTCCCCATTAACTCCTTCCATTAGAATAGTTTATTTGTTGCAGTTGATGAGACAGTATTGATCTAGTTGTTTACAGTTCATAGCTTATTATTAATTACAATATCTTTACAGCCATTTGACTGTTCTTTATACACATCTGTTTTTAATGGAGCATACTAAATGGTACATAGTAAGGGATTTCATCACACCATTTCCATGCATGCACATAATTGTACATCATATTTACCCTATATTCTTTTATCTCCTCTCCCCCACTTTCTTTCCCCTTTTCCCCTTCCCCTCATCTGTTTAATGACCTTGGCTTTTATTGTTTTGTTTCCCCCAGCTTCCACAAATGAGAGAGAAAAATGAGATAAGTGTCTTTGTAAGACTGACTTACTTCTTAACCTGATGATTTCCAGTTCCATCCATTTTCCAGCAAACATTTGTACACATCTTTTAACACTGGAGCCCAGAGTGGTGGTTGAGATCAGCTTGATTCAAAGCCACACTTGGTGACTTTCCTACCTGGATGATGTTTCTTAGCCTTTTTCTTCTTTTTTTTAAAGTTTGTTTTTTGTTTTTTTTGTCATTGGGGATTGAACCTAGGGCCTCAAGCCTATTAGGCAAGCTCTCTACCACTTGAGCCACACCCCCAGGCTTTTAGCCCTTCTGAGCCTGTGTTTCCTCACTTGGAAATGATAACCTGGACAGTTGTAAGGATTAAATTACACTTGGACAATAAATATTTAGTACTATTCCGGCATTGTAACTGCTGTGGTAATGTTCAAGTGTGGTTCTTGATTATTAAGCAGCAATTTTGTTGCAGCCAGAATACACCTGGCGTCCACCCTGCCAGGGATGCGGAATCAGGGCTCCCAAGTGATGGATCCACCTACAGCCAGGCCTGTGGAACCAGGTGAGTGTGGTCCCCTCCTCCTGGAGCTTGTCTCACCCTGGCAGAGATAACTTACTGCCTTTCAGGATGGCCTGTTTGGGAATGACGTTCCTTTCTGGTCTTGATGGAGGAGAGGCCCAGATTTCTGAAATACTGTTAAAAGGGAATGATTTGCCTGCTGGAGGAAGGAACTGAAGACATTCACTCATTCCTTCTAGTTGTCTTCATGCCAGGCGCTGTGCTGGGTGTTAGGGGTCCTGAGAATGTAGAACAGACATGGTTCCTTCCTTTGTAAAGCTACTATCTAGTGAGGGAGGCAGAAATGAATTTTTTAAATCACATAGGTTGAGTCACATGCCCTGCAAGAAGAAGAGCGGGTTTCTATGAGAACAGAGAGTTAAGGGACCTGACCTTGACTGGGGATTTAGGAAAGCCTTCCAAAGGTAGTGACATCTGGCTGAGAAGTCATAAGGGTTGGGAACGTTCTTGCAGAGAAAATGACAAACACAAAGACCCATGTGTTCGTCAGCTGGAACAGAATGCTTAAGATAATCAACTTACAAGGAGGAAGATATATTTTGGCTCATAGTTTCAGTGGCTTCATCCCATGGTCACTTGGCCCCCTCACTGGGCATATGGCGGCACAATACATCAAGATAGGAGTGTGTGCATCAAGGTAGAACTCTGTTCATCTCATGGGGACCAGGATGCAAAATGAGAGGAAGGGGCTGGGGGTCCCAGTATCCTCTTCAAGGACACACCACCAATGACCTCATTTCCTTCCCTAGGCCCCACCCCGTAAAGGTTCTACCACCTCCCAGTAGTACCACAGGCTGGTGAGTGGGCTTTTAGTACATGGGCCTTTGGGGAACATTTAAGATCCAGACTATCAGCAGCTGCCTCTGTCCCTGTCATAATGCATTTAGTCTGCCTCTAAGAGTTCCAAAGTCTTAATTGTTCCAGCATTGCTGAAAAGACTAAGTCCAAAGTCTCAGACTCAAGCCAAACTCAGCTCTGAGTCCTCATAAAGTCAGAAATGAAATTCCCTCCGACAATTCAATGGTGAAATAGGAATGGGGTAAACATTCCTATTTCAAGGGAGAGGAATAGTGGCATAGAAAGGATGGGTGGGCTCTAAGAAGATTGAAACAGAGCAGACATTAAATCATGCAGCTCCACACCTGACATCTGGGACACAGTGGTAGAGCATGCGCTCTAAAGAGCTTAGGCAGTCACAACCCTTATGTGGCCACTCGTACTGGGGTTTGAACTCGGCCTTACACTTGCTAGGCAGGTGTGACCTCCTACGCCTTGAATCACTCCTCCAGCCCTTTTTTGTGATGGGTATTTTTGGATAGGGTCTCACAAACTATTTGCCCAGAGCCGGCTTTGAACTGCAATCTTCCTGATCTTTACCTCCTGAGTAACTAGGATTACAGGCGTGAACCACCGGTGCCTGGCTGGCCACTCTTTTGGGCTGGCTCTAATCTCTGCCTGTGGCATTCTACATTCTACATTCTACATTCTCTAACTTTCTGGGGTCTTCATTGCAGCTTAGGGTTCACCCTTACAGCTTCATGCGTCACCCTCTGCCACACACTTCCTGGCCTCCCACACCTTCCTTTAAAATCTGGGTGGAAGCCGTGCTCTTGTAACTTGCATTCTGCATGCCTGCAAAATAGTATCCCATGGACGATGCCAATGTCTACTTCAGGGCCTGATTGAGCCCTGGCAGCGATGGGCTCTGAGTGTGTGGAGGCTGAACATGGAGAAAGGAATCCCAGGGAGCTCTGGTAGCCCTGTCTGAACAGGGTGCTCTGGGGTTCTCCTCTCAATTGAAAGCTGTTTACATTTGTATGGCGCTGAGCCTGTAATGGTGGAATCTTTTCTTCAGGATGCCTTCAAGATATCTTTTCTATTGTCTCAGTACAAAGTACTTTGTTTCTTCTTAACATTTAACTTCATTTCCTTCCTGGTATGAGCTTTACACTTTTCAGCCATACTGCAAGTTTTTCTGGTCTTTTCATTTTGATTTTGGCTCCTGATTCTACAGTAAAGCTGGCTGAAAGCCACCAGCAGTACCCATGCCACTACCTCAATGCTGCATTGCCTTAAAAGCTCTTCCACCAACTAATCAGTCTATCCCCTTTAAGCCAAGCCTCACACGTCTCAAGGCATGGCAGAATAGAAACAAGTTCTTTGCCAGAGTGTACCTTGAGTTGCCTCCGTCCAGTTCCCATGGAGTCCTATTCCCACCTGAACCTCATGAGCCTGGCCTTCTCTGCCCGCATTCCCACCAGCATTCCATTCTTGTGAACCCTCACCAGAATTGCCATTTGAAACTGGTCCTATCATTCTGGGCTTTTTCTAGCCTGCCAAACCAAGTTCAAAGGTTTCTGCACCACATCATCAAGTATAGTCACAGTAATAACCCACTTCTTGGTAGCAGTTTTCTTTTTCTTTCTTTCTTTACTGGTACTGGGGTTGGAACTCAGGGCTTTGTACTTGCAAAGCAGGTGCTCTACCACTTGAGCGACACCTCCAGTCCATTTTGCTCTGGTTAATTTGGAGATGGGGTCTCATGAACTATTTGCCTGGGCTTACCTCAAACTGGGGTCCTCCTAGTCTCAGCCTCCCAAGTGTAAACCACTGGCACCTGGCTGGTCTCAGTTTTCTGTTAGCTTTCCATCACTGGAACAAAGTATCTAAAATAACCAACTTATAAGAAGGAGAGGTTTATTTTGGTTCCCAGTTTGAGAGGTTTCAGTCTGTGGTTGCTTGGTCCCATTGCCTTTGGACCTGTGGTGAAGCAGAACATCACAGTGATAGCACACGGTTAGAAAACTTACTTTGTGGCAGCCAGGAAGCAGAGAGAGAAAGGGGCCAAGATCTCGAGTTCTTCACTCGGGCTCACACCCACTGACCTTGCTTCCTTCCATTAGGTCCCACCTCCTAAAGGTTCCACTGCCTCCCAGGGGAACCACAAGCTGGCCACCAGTCCTTTAGAACACGGGCCTCTAGGGAGCAGTGGGGATCTAAACTATAACACCTTTACAGGAGTAAAGGAAGGTAGCCAAGTGAAGGATCTGAGGGAAGGCCAGCATTTCTGCAGCCAAGAACAAGGTGGGGAAAGAGGGGGCAAGGCAAGGTGAGAGACATGGGCTGGCCATGTGGTCAGAGCCTCACAGAGTGTGATGGGGTGCTGGTCTAAAGCCTAAGTATGGCACAGAGTTACTGGACAGTTATCTCAAAGCAGGGTCATGCCCAGATTGGCATTTTAGAAAGCTCCCTCCAGGCACGGCATCTGCCGTACGAAGTTGAAGGGCCTGAAGCCATATTCATGAGGCAGGAGTAGACTCGTCCGCAGTGACCACCCTCACTCCCTGCAGGACTCTCATAAGCCAGGAGGCACTGTCTCACCCATGGGATTCTGGGACCAGAATCACAGCTAGCAGAAGGGCACAATAGGGAGGCCAGGTCCTTCTCAGCATGAAAAGAAAGAGGAACTTTCTAGCAGAAGGGTCACAGTGGTATAGAATGGAGCTAGCTCTGTCAGGAGGTAATATAAGCAGAGGCTACCGGACAAATGACTTGGAGGCTGGGGGTGACTTGGTGCTCAGAAGAAGGGATTAGACTGGCCTGTCATTTCCCCAGAGGGTCTGTGGAGCCTTTGGAGGCTGCTGTGATCGGTGGCAGAGGTGACTTGGTAGAGAGGGCTGACCCTTCTCCCAGAACTCACTTCAGGAATCTGGAACCAGACTGATTGGGTTCAAATCCCAGCTCCGCTACCTCCCAGAACTGGGCCTTTAGGCAGGTACTTTTAAAACTTCTCTACATCCAAGTTCCCTCCTCTGTATGGAGGGCTGGGTAAAGACTGCATGAGAAATGCCCCAAGACACAGCCTAGCACTCAGTAGCCAGCTGTTTTCACTTGGTGTAGAAACCTGAATTGGCTTCCGTGTAAGACTGCAAAACTGACTATACTGCAGAGTCTCTAAGTCCTCAAAACTTTTGTTTATTTAGAGTCTGCAAAACACGACTGTGAGGGGACTCAGTGAGACCAGATTGTGTCATTTGGCTCCACCTTCGTCTTGCAGAGCCAATTGACCTCAAATTACCAAAAACCTAGAGGCTACATGCTCTGTGTGGCCAGAGCCTCAGCTGGATGGAAGACTGAGATGGGCAAACAGCTCACATCTCCAGCCCTGAATTGTGTACGAGACTGGGAGGCTCCACCCACTGGGTTTCCACTTGGGCTCCTCTCCTGGATGGGATCAGGAAGAACTCACTACCCCGCATCCTGCAGCTGAGTCAAGAGAGGCTGGCTTTGACCTGCCATCCTCTGATAAAGCCACTGGTCATCCATTGTAAGCATGGGGGGCAGCGAAGACTCCTCTGTTAAAACCTCCACAGAAGTGGTTCTGGACTCTCCAGGTGCCATACCAGTTTGTGTGTGTGTTTAATTTTTGCTTCAAGCTGTGTAGCAGGACCTGCCCCATGCCCATTGTTACTCTCCGGGAGGCGCTAAAACAAGAGTAGAAGAGAACCACAGAACGTTTCGATGCCAGGACACTCTCCATTGCTACCCATATTAGCCTTGCAACAGCCATCACAGCCTGGAATGAAGACCAATCCAGGCACATCTGCTGAGGAGCCCCAGCCTGAAACTGCCAGGCCCGGAAGTTTAGGCCCTAACCCCCCCACACCCCCACAGCTAAAGGTTTGTGGTTCCAGAGGCCTGGATTGTGGGGTAGCTGTCTGTCCCTTGGCACTTGTTTGCACGAATTTTGGACATAAATCGAAGTTAAAGATGAACATTTGTGACTGGTGTTCTTTCTTCTACATATGGGCTATGTTCCCCTCTCAGCCAATCAGATGTTCTTTCTTCTGCATCTGGGTTTATGTTCCCCTCTCAGCCAATCAGAACAGTTTTCCTGGCCCCTCCTAAGTACACCTTTCCCTCATCTCTCCGAGAGTATTACTAGCATCTTGAGAGCATCCAGGAGCAGCAGAAGGAGCCTGGGCTGTAGTGGTCAGTTTTCCTCCTCACTCATCAGGAGACCTGGGGCAAGGCCTGGCTTTTCTGTGAGCCTCAGTCTGTCCATCTTGCAAATGCAGTAGCACTGCAGCCCTAGCTGCCGTGGAGAACTATGGGTGAGAATGAGAGTTGGTGTGAACTGCTTTATAAACTCCAGATGCTGAGTGAGAGAAGCAGTGTGGGCCTGGGTAGAAGCCAAAGTGCAGTGCCAAAGCACCCCCACTTCTTTTCCTCTGGCCTTTACCCTCCCTGTCTCCCGTGTAGGGTGGCCACCTTTGAGGAAGTACCACAGTAGGCTCAGCTGCTGCAGAAAGGTCTTTACTGGGCAGATGGGGTGTGAGCAGTGCCAGTGGACAGAGTGAGGGGAAAGGGCACATACTCTGAAGGCGTTGGGGCGGCATCCCTGCCCAGGGGTCTCAGCCTGAATGCACTAAGAGCTGGCCCCACAGACAGGCTCGGGGGAGGTCCGCCCACAAGGGCTTCGGGCCCCTCCCTCATGGAGACACCACCCCTGACCTGGAGTACACAGCCCTCACTCTCACATCTGCCTTGGCTAATCTCAGGGAACACGATGGGGTGAGGATGGAAGCTTGGGAGGGCCCTTCAGGAAGGAGGAGAGAGGCTGGGCAATGTGTGGTAGACCCAGAAACTTCTGAGGACTTCAGTGTGGCATTGAGGCAGTGAGAGATGCTGGCCCCAAGGTTGAGATCCAGGTCAGAGCAGGACAATCAGACCTAGTGCTGTTTTTCCTCTGGGCTCTGGTGAAAGCAAATTGTTACCATTGGACAGAGAGCGGGAGAGAAAGGGGTGCTATTCTCCAGCACACAGCACAGGCACGTGGGTGATTCACAGTCTCAGGTATTCACACATGTGGCCATGTACCTATGCACACACCGGTACACACAACCGTAGGCATGTACGTAAACCCCCACGTGCACAGTGGTGCACACATACTGTATGCACACGTCTGTGCCAAGCTGAGGCCCTATATGGTAAGAAAGGGGTGTGTGGTGGGTGTGTGGTTTGACGACATGGATTCCTTCCTGAAGAGCATCCCTGCCTGGTGGGTGTGGGGTGGACCAAACATCAGTTACTTCCCCTTGGCCCTCAGGGCTGCCTGCCGCCTCATGTAGGCCAGGATGTCCAGCTTGACGTTGCTGACCGTGGTTCGGTGGTACCAACGCATGATGGGTATGCCATCTGGCCCCACCAGAAACTTCTCAAAATTCCAGCGGATGTCATGGATCTTCATGGGTTCCCAGAAGAGGCGTCCAGGTGAGCCCAGGAGCTCTGTGGTAGGAGGGCAGGAGTTCTAGTGCAGGGATTAAAGAGCAGTGTTGACTTGACTTAGGGTTCCTTGTGTCCCCCCTTTCCACCCCCCTCCCCTAGTGCTGAGAAAAGAGCACCAGTTTGGGGTGAGAAGACTGACTGCCAGTCTCAGTATGACTTAGATTGTGAGCCCCTTAGCCTGCCCTCATCTGCATCGCCTAGACCTCATCTGTAAAACAGGTTGGTGAGATCCTAGGATCTGCAGAGCCCTCTAGTTGGGATTAAAGGCCAATACCAAGAAGTCCCTGAGCGCAGAAGCAGGAGTGTGGCCTGGGCTGTATGGGCTGGAGCCAGGGCCAGTGGAGAAAGAGGTTCCCACCCAGGCTGCTCACTCACCTTTAGGAAAGTGTAGAACTTCTGCTCTTTGTCCCCATTCACATCCCCTTTCTCAAAGAGCTGGAAATTAGGTACGAAGCCCCCACCTGGCCGGACATACCTGTGAGGAATGTAATTTGGTAGGTCCCCAGGAGGTGGACACTGGGTTTAGAAATGAGGGAAGGGACAGAACGGGACGGAGTGTTGGGGAGTCTGGTTTTAGCCAATGACAGTTGAATGGGCCTAGGCAGACCCATTCCAGCTTGGTCCCTTCTCAGCACCCACACACACACCTCGGAACTCCCCTCTACCCCGTCATTCGCTTTCCAACCAGTCATCCCTCGCCTTCTCTCCTGGCCCCTCCCTTCCCTTCATTCCACAAAGCCAGGTTCCCAGGATGGGGAGTGGTTCTGAGTGACCGATCAATGCATCAGGAGTCCTGTGGCGCTGCTAGTGCAACTTCCTCAGGACCCCTAGCAAGCACTCACTTGAGACTGGGTAGGATCTCTGAGTTCTCTCCTGGCTCCTGTTTTCCAAATTGGTTGCAGGGGAAGCCCAGAATGACCAGGCCAAATGGCGCAAGCTCTTCCTGTAGTGCATTCAGTTCTAGAGGAGAGACAGTAGCCTGGTGAGAAGCCTTGCCTTGGGCACCGCTTCCCTCGCTCACCCACCATATAGCTGAACTCTCTGAGGCTTGAGGGGGAAGGGATTTGCCCAAGATCACCCAGTGAATTTGAGGCAATGCTGGGATTCAGGTCCTGTCTTCCTGACTCCAAGCTGGATTGATTGGAGGTTTGGGAGAAAAGAGAAATACCCTTCCTTGAGTCAGCAGTCACCAGCCCACTTCCAAGGCCCACCACCTGGACCAATGGGCTGAGGGCTCTTCAGAGCTCTCAGGAATGAGTTTCCTGGAACAAGAGCCATCCATCTCTGGACAAAAGGCAGAGGACTTCCTTGGGGTGATATGGGGACCTCACAACCTTCCTCTGGGAATTAAGGAACCCAAGGGAGGCCCTGGCCAGCTCCTAGTTTCCCCAGTAACCCCTAGCCTTGCATACAGTGCCATCGCCCAGCCTGTCCCTTGCACAAAAGCATTCTGCTCTGTTCCAAGGGCTAGACAGACGCATCTGGGCCATGCACCCTGCTATCTTCCCACTTCCAGGAACTCACCTGTGAGGGCCAGGAGAACATTGGGGTCAGATTGCCCTTGCTTTCCCCAGCCCCACCAGCACCCCAAAGCATCTTTCCCTGGCTGTTGTCAGAGGCCTTTGGTCTGTCTGTTCCCCGGGGCTCCTTACTGTGTCCCAGCTGAGGGATAAGGATATTGGGAGTCATGAAGCTGGGGTCAAATGCCCTGTCTGGCCCTTTGTGACCCTCATTAAGTCTTTTCTTCACACTGAGACTTAGTGTCCTTACCTGTAAATTGAGGAGAGGGGACAGCTGAGCTAGGTCATCTTTAAAGTTCATTGTAGAATGGACTGAATGTGTCCTGCCTCCCACCATCCCTGTTCCCCACCTGCATGTGCTCTGGAGCCTCAGCCAGTGGTCTCCTCTCCAGAGTGGGACCAAGAGAAGTACCATGGTGGATAGGGCTGGGAGAAGATGGAACACTCAGCAAGGCTGAGCTGCTGCCACCGTTTCTTACTCCAGTCAGAGGAATTTGCAGGCACAAAGTCAAGCTCCTCTATGCCTCTGCTTTTAAGGGATGGAGAAGGGTAGCCAGGAATGTTCTAGAATATGTCCAAAGGTAACCAGACCTCGGGCTTACATCATCGTTCTCAGAAAACTGGGCAACACAGTGTAGCTAGGATTGGCGTCTCTTGCCACTGTCACCCCTTTCCCCTGGACACAGAGACTTCCTATGACTACTGTGCATCCAAGTGGCAGAATCAGCCCCAAACAAAGCAGCAGAGGAAAGCTCTTACCCAGGTACTGGTCTGTCAAACCTCAGTAGCTGGCCACGTTGACAAAGAGGACATATTTGCCAGCATACTGCTTAAAAGGGATGTACTCCTCCCCATCGATGGTGAGGGCTCCGTAATCATAGATGGTGCCGCTCATGCCACCATGGCAGTCTGTCTAAAAGAGAAAAAGACCAGGGAATAGTTAGAGCTGAAAGGACAGTTCACCTTTCAGTTCATGAGCGATCCCCAGGGGGAGAGTGGCTTGCCCAGGACCACATCAAATGAACTGGACTAAAACCGAGGGCTTCTGATTCCTTGCATAAGAGCATAATAATGTGTTAATTAGCAGATGCTTATTAACTAAGCACTTGGTAAGTGAGTGCTCTGGAGCCCTGGCAATTTACTTAGTGGTGGTTACTTCAACATTCCATGTCAACTTGGGGCTCAAGGGAGACTGCCTGGAGCTGGTGGTTGGGTTGTGGCATGGGCTGAGGAAATGGGTTGGGTGGCTATTGCAATAGTCCAAGCAAGAGATGATGCAGCCTGAACTCGGCCTGAATTAGGCTGTTGTGAAGGAAAAACTGGACATAAATAAGGAAGCGTCATGGAGAGGGTGATTCAGAGTCTCCAGGTCTGGAGGATTGGAAAGATGAGACTGTTGTGAAACTGGGAAGTAGGACTAGAAGCCAGCAATGGAGAAAAGCCTGTCGTGAGGACCTCATGTGACAGTAAGGGTAAAGCCACAGTGCCTATTGTTATTATATGTTCTTCAGACATGAGCAGCTGTGACACCTGGTATACTTTCCTGTCTACCCAACTGCCATTCACAGTCAACCTCCAGAAGGAGGAAAGACAGAGTACAGTGCTCTGTAGGGTAGAGTGGGAGACCCAGGTTCCACCTCCAGCAATGCCACCAACTCTGTGTTGCCTTGGACTAGTCCTTTCTCTTCCCGACCTCACTTTGAACTGGACCAGCCATTCTCAACCCAGATGGCTCGACAGCATCCCTCTCAGTGGAAGAGGAGGGACAGAACTGCTGCTAGCCAGTCGGACACGGACTGTGACCACTCTACCCCACCTCCTCCCTGACCGCAAGAACAAAACTCCAGGTCTGCTCTTGAAAGGTGCCGTCAAATCAGGACATGACTCGGGCTTTGTTTACCTAGGAGAGGGGGAAAGACAGGACACTAATGGAGTGCAAACTAGTATGAAAGACCAGGAAAGGACAGAAGGTGGTGAAGTTAGAGATACAAATTCACTCCCTCTCTTCCCTTCAATTCTAGAAAACTTGCTGTTGAGGTAAGGTCCCCGGGCCTAACTGACAAAGGGCACCATATAGGCAATAAGATGTGACCCCAGGGGGTTGCAAAAGAACCTCATGGTCAGATCAAGTCTCCACAGGCCTGCTGAGCTTGGTGAGGCTGGGCTGCCTCCATCAGATTATTCCCCTACAACTACCAGCTCTCTAGGCTCTGGTGAAAATTCCCTTCTTTCCATGAGTCTAATATTCCACACCCTATGGACTTTTCTATAGGTGCTGAATGCAGGAACCAGACCTCAGCTCAGCATTCCTTCTGACCCAGACCCTCAGATCCCTGCTGGGCTCACTTCCACCTTAAAACACAAACAGAGCAGGAGACAGCCAACACCCAGCCAGCCACAGAGCTCTGGCAAAACCTCCCAGTGTGCCTCCCACTCCTCTACTCCACCCTGATCTGAACATGATCTCTGGGAAGTGGGGAGGAGGAGAGCCAGAGGTTGACCAAATAATGGGGAGCTGGTAAACAACAGAAGGATCAGCTTCTGGGCACAGTTTCCAGGTGAGCACTGGGGTAAGGGGAACTCCTCTCAGGTCTGGTCTTTGCTGCTGTGTACCCTTGGGCAAGCCACTTTCACTCTCTGAGACTTGGACTGATGATACCGCATCTGCCTCTCCAAACAGTTGTGAGACTCTATTGGAAGATCAGGACAGTCTCGAAAGCCTCTTGGAAGGTCAAGGGGCGTGATGATTCTGCCTGCAGCTTGGTGAAGAGAGGTCTTGATGTTTGCCAGTAAGAGGACAGTGAACACTGGTTGGGGAATTTCCAAGAGGAGGGATAAGTGGCAGTCCGCACACTTTCTCCTGGCACACTTTCAGCCCAGGCTGGCGGGGCTCGGAGGGTGACCCATGGTGGATGGAGCCACAGCCCTGTGCCTTGAAGAGGGAGGCCAAGGAGAGTCAACATGTTTGCCTCAACTCTCCCACAGCTGATGGGAGAGAAAAGCTTCTGATGGCTTGAGAGTTGGCGATGGGGGCGAATGACACTCACCCAGGCCCCTGGCTGTCTACAGCTCCCTGTCTGTATCTTTCTTCTCTTTCGTCTTACCATGGCCATGGATGTGCTACTGTGAAAAGAAGACTGGCCTGATCACTCTCTGAGCACCTCTTCCCCCTCTTGGGCTCCGACTCCTTCACTGTAAGATGGAGTCAGATTTAGGGCTAAGAGCCCTTGAGCCCTGACGTCAGCATGTGGGTCCACGATTCTCTCGGCCTCGTTTAGTCACCTAGAAACCAGCGGTTACTAGGATCCTGTGCACGTCAGCAGCTGTTAGTCTCTCCAGCCTCTGCAAAGTCCTTTTGGAGAGCAAGGACAGGGAGGCCTGGGCAGCAGTAAGCTGGACTGAGGAGGGAACGCAGCAAGGGAAGGAGGGCTCCCTCTGTTTGAGCCCCTCCCTTTGAGCTGGGAGAAGGAAAACATGTCCGGAGCTGAGTCATCTTTGGTTCATCCCAGTCTCTACATACTCCTTCCCTATTCCTTTGTCCTGAGCTGGGGAGCAAAGTAAGTGGCTATGTCCTAGAAACCAGAGCTGTGACATCTCCTCCAAGGACTTGGGAGGCAAGATGGCTATGTGCAGTCCATCATTAGCCAGCAAATCTTGGCTGGCTATATCTGATGTGGTCACACCACCCTAAGACTTTTCTAGACCATCCTTACCCTGGACCTATCCATCCCTCCCCAGAGTTCTGCAGAAACATTTGGCTATGATGGTCTGTGTTCCTACCTCCAGAACTCTTGGGGCACTCCTCTCTGTCTGTCCCCAAACTGAGGGGATGGAGCTGACTCCAGGATGCTGGCCTGCCCACAGTCCACCCCCACTTCTACTCCACACCCCATTCTTGAAAATCCGTTCCATCCCTCCTGCAGAAAATGCCTTCAGAACTGGTGATTAGGAACAAGGCTGAATAGAAAGGAGGGTTTTGCAGCCATCTGGGCTTTAGACATGACACGAAGGAGGAGCAGAATAGGCCGAGGACAGAGGGATTAGAAACAGGCAGGAGGAGCCTACTCTTGGAATGGGCGTCCTGAGAAGCGGGTAGAAATTTGGACTCAGTGCCATGGACTCAGGAGGCCTTAGAATAATGACCCAGAGAATCTTAGCGACCCAGAAGCTCAAACTCCAGCCTACATAGCATGGGGGTGTGTGTGTGTGTGTGTGTGTGTGTGTGTGTGTGTGTGTGTGTGTGTTGTGAGGCTGGAGACAGAAGGCTCTCTTTGGGTCTGTCCCTACTCCAGGTTTCTGCCTCCTCAGCCTGGAGAAGAGGAAAAGACCTACAGGACCCACCCAGCACATTCTGACAAGGAGATAAGCACACTGGGTCATCCCCCTCTGGCCTCAGCGTCCCCAACCCCACTTCAGCTTAGGGTCACACACCCTGCTGGGGACAGACAGGCTCAGAAGAATTCTGCCTCTCCAGAGCTGATGGCCCCCTTTCTGTTATGACCAAGTGTGTTCAGGTGGTGTGGACAGTGGGTTGTGGATAGTTAGTCTGCCCACAGGACACCCTTCAGAGAGCAGCTTCTCCAAGCATCCTCTCTGAAGCCACGCACTTCACTGTGCCCCTGAGGGGTGGGGACCTGGGATCTAGAGTGTTCTGCACTGTCAGTCCAAAGCTCTTTCTGACACAGATCTCTGCCTCTTCTTCCAGTGCCCTGGGATCCACGGGCATGTCCACTGCATCTAGAGGGACCCACACAGCAATTCTCAAGACCAGGGCCACCCAGCTGCAATCTCCTTCCTTTTCTCTGTCAGTCTCAGCAAACCTGCAGAGACAACGCTGAGACCAAGACTTTGGGCCTTTTTCTGTGCACGCCCACCCCCTACACACACACCCTCCTGGAGGGGTGCAGTTGGTGCCAACGTGGCATGGATATAGCAAGTCACCCTCGGGGAGCAGTGGGAAGAACGTGTTTCCTCCCCAATCATTTTGTCACCTTTAGAACCCAGGTCTGGATTGATGGAGCAGAGGAGGGAGGAGAGAGGATGGTCATCGGTGAGGTTCCCAAGGCAGAGGGGAGGCACGCAGAGCCCCGGTCGTCGGGCGCCCCTCGCACCTGGTGCCGCCCCCCTGGAGGGAAGCCCGGGAAGAGAGGTGCTGATGACACCTGGCAGCCGGGGCTCACTCACCTTGGACTTCTCCTGCCCCCGGCTCGGCGGGACGAAGCCGGCCAGGAGCAGGGAGAGAAGGCAGGACGCTCGGAGGAGCCGGGCCATGGCGGGCTGCAGCGTCTCAGGCTCGCCTCAGACGCTGTGGGATCCGGGGCCACCGTCAGTCTGGGGTGTCCCGAGCTCCCAGCCACCTTTCAAGCCCTTGGCGATGGCCAATCCGGGGCCAGGCTGGGGACCTCGTAGCCAATCGCAGGGCGACTGGAACTTCAGGGGCAAGTCGTGCCCGCCCCTTCGCTCTCCCCCTCCCCAGGCCCGGAGAGACGGTGACTTCAGCGAGTCTGGGCAGAGATGACAATCAGGTCCTCGCGAAGGCGGGGGGCGGTCCCGTCTCGGCCAGCGGTCTCCACCCAGCCAGGGCAAGGGGGCCAAATGACACCCGGGAAGTGATGGAAGGCTCAGTTCTGGGAAGCACTTCGTATCTCCTAGGCTTTAAAACACCTGCCATGGTCCTGCCCCGGAGGTTGAGGAGCTAACATTTCAGCAAGATCCGAAGTTAGACCTTCAGGAACATTTCATGCATGCACGTTTTGTGCTTAAGACGCAATGTGTGGGAATTTTGAATGCAGTCCCCGTCTTCAGTAGGGTGTGGGGACATCTCAGCTGGTTTGAACACTGACTCCCTATGTAGTCTTTTTTTTTTATTGACATATAAAAATTGTATGTTTACCCATACAGTCTGGAACACCTAGGCCTCAGTTTCCCCAACTGTGTAATGGTGGGATTGATTAATAATCTCTAGGGCCCTTCTGGCTCTGGCTGAATGATGTTGACTTAAGCATTGGCAAGATAGTGCACACCTATAATACCAGCTACTCAAGAGATAGAAGAAGGAGGATCATGAGTTTGAAGCCAGCCAGGACAAAGGTAGTGAGACCCTATCTCAAAAACAAAATAAAAATAAAAAAGGACTTGGGGCATAGCTCAAGTGGTAGAGCACTTTTTGTTTAGTAAGCATGAGGCCCTGAGTTCAATCCTCAGTACCACAAAAAAAAAAAAAAAAGTGATTGCCCATCATTACAACCTGGCCCAGGGTCTAATAACCAATAGGTGTTTAATGTTTGCTAAACTAATCAATCATTAGATTTGTTTCTGCTGGGAGATACTTAAATTCAGGCCAGGCTGCTCTAGGTCTGGGCTGTCCAGAAACAATCCCATCCACAGACAGACAGTCGGTGCCTTGGGATCTGACTGCATAGTGAGGTAGGAAGCTGGGAATACAAATCCCCAGGCCCACTCAAAGTTACTGCATCAGGGTCTTGGGGAGTCACGAGGGGCTGAGAACCTGCCTTCAACAAGGGGATTCTAAGGCAGACAGCCTGGCCTCAGTCTCAGCGGTGTGAGTCCCAGGATTAGATGTCCTCTAGAAAACTCTTCTAGCCAAGAAGTGCCTGGTGTGATCTGCATATTGTTCACCAAGTTTTTCCTTCCTCAAACCGCAGCAGTGTTGAAGCAGAAAGAACCTTGGGGACTGGAAAGTCTTTATATGCATCAGAACACAGAAACACAGAACAGTGGTGACACAAAATCAGTGCTGAATAGATATTCATTCAACCACCACAATCCACTGAAGCCTGGAGCCAGGGAACAACTTACTCTATTCCCACAGCAAATTAGTGGCAGAGAAGGGACCAGACTCCAGCTCTCTAGACTCCAGTCTGGGGTCCTCTCCATGTTGTTCTGGTGTCTTTTGAAGTTCAATGTTACCCCAAGATACGAACATCTGTGTACATATCAGTTTGTCAGAAATCCATTGTTTATTACCATCAGTTGGCATCTTATGACCCTCAAAGTATGTGCCTGGAAACATGCTAACATCATGAGAGATGTCAAAGAGTTTTCTAGAAGCTGTACTTCCTGAAGAGCTCACTGGGTGAGGCAGGTGAGGCTCCTTGGGTCGTGCAAGGATAGGGCTGGCCCCTAAGAGGGAGCACTCCTTAAGTTTTGCACCCTGTGTGCCTCACTTGTCCCACATGAGTCCTGGAGTGGGGAACAGAGGGCCAGAGGCCTGAGGTGTGCTCCTGGATTGCTGTGAGACCACAGACAAGTTCCTGTCCTTCTCTGGGTCCCAGTCAGCCCATCTGTTAAACAAGGGTCTTTGATAATCTCTTGGCAGTAGCCTCTGTGGCTTTTTCAGTTCCTGTGCCATGCAACACACAGGTGTCCTGTATTTTGTCATGGGGGTGAGGAGGTGGGTGAGCCTGCCCTGGCCTTGAGGAGGTCCGTCGTGTGCTGTCCACTGTTAGAACATTTGGTTGATTGGTTTCCGGGAACGGATGTTTTGAAAGATATTCTCCACCATGCTACTTCCAACTGCCCTCAGGTTAAAGTTCAAATTCCTCAGCACTTCAGGTATGCCCTGGGAATCCACCCACTTCATCCTTTGCCACGGTCTTCTTTTTCTGTCCACCTCAGCCTGCCAGGATGTTTTTCAGGTCTTCCAACGTGCCAATCTCTTACTTCCAGGTTTCATCCATGCCGCTCCCTCTGCCTGGAGTGCTTCACCTTCTCTCTCTAACTGGATTCTCTTCTACTCCTAGTGCAGGCCTCCCTACTAATGTCACTTTTTTTTTTTTTTCTTTTGAGACATTATCTTGCCATGTAGCTCAGTCTGGCCTTGAAATCTCTCGATCCTCCTGCCTCAGCCTCCCAAGTGCTAAGATTTCAGGCATGTGCCACTATGACTGGCAGCCTGATGTCACTTTTTTGGTGTGTTTGGTACTGGGGTTTGAACTCAGGGCCTACACCTTGAGCCACTCCTCCAGCCCTTTTTTGTGCTGGGTTTTTTCGAGATAGGGTCTTGTGAACTATTTTCCTGGGCTGGCTTTGAACTGTGATCCTCCTGATCTCTGCCTCCTGAGTAGCTAGGATTACAGGCGTGAGCCACCAGCGCCCCAGCTTCTGATGTCACTTCTTCAGGAAAAAGTTTCATTCAGGTCTCCTGGATTTACTATTGTTCTAGAGTATTTGAGGCTTTCTACATTAACCCTTTACTATACTGTACCCTCATTTCTTGTTTGTCTGTTCTGTGCACTAAATTATAAGGTTCACAAAGGCTTCATGTCCAGCCCTAGAACCTATTAGCTGGTTGGTAATTATTTATCAAATAATGTCAAATAAAGCACTCTTTGGCATATAGGATGATCAGAGACTCGGGTTAGTATGCGCTACCAATTTTGAACCCACAAGAATGAGACTGGTCTGATTCCAGCTGTTCATAAGGTAAGGTGCTACGTGAGTTACTCTGAGTAAGCTGGGGGATGGAGGAGATGATTTAGAATGCGGTGTGGGAGGGAGCAGAGGAAACAGACAGTAGAGCAATCATAGGCTGGTTTTCCCTCCTTTGCGTTCCAGAGAACGCACTCTTCTGCACATACCGGGAACTTGCATACCGGTGAACAGGGAGTGAAGATGACTGGTGAGAGGTTTAGAAAAAGTGCTGATGCTTTGTGTCTTCAAGGAAGACAGTGTGAGTTAATGAAGAAGAGGGCTGTGAAAGCCACACAGCAAAGGGGAGCCCCACCACTGCTGAGAAAGTGTTTCAAGTTCTGGACTCAGGATGGGTCAGCCAGCCTCACTAAGGCCTCCAGATGGAGGCAGCAAAAGGGAAGCCCAACCCCATCACTTTGGTGCCAACTCCGAACAGTGGCCCTGTTTTGCAATCAGGAAGGGATTGCAGAAGCCAGGTGGGGCCCGGGAGCTTCTGGTTTCCTGAATAATCAGCAGATCCAATCTGAGAGTCAGCCAGGAGGCAGGAAGTCAGTCATCAAGGTGAGAGTGAGTACCTGGAGACTGCTTCCGAAATGAGTGCCTTCCAGATTCTGGGTCACTCTTCGAATCTGTGGAACAAGGAGTTGGACAAGTTGCTCTCTAAGGGTCAGGAGTTAAGATAATAACCAGGTAGCATTTACCCCCAATCCTATACATACCAGGTTCTGGCTTTGAGTATTAACTTTTTGGAAAGCCCGCATGACCTCATGAGATGGTTAGTGTTATTAGGCTCATGTTACAGATGAAGAAAGGAATACAGAGAAGTTAGGTCACTTTGCATAAGGCTCTACAGCTGGTGAGTAGCAGAACCAGAATTTAGAGCCCCTGCCAGGAACCTCAAAGCCTATATCACCCCACATGACAGCCACTAAAATGGAATGGGTTAGTCTAAATCAATATGTGCTGTGAGTATAAAATACACACTGTTTTTAAAAAGCTTAGTATGACAAAAAGAATGTAAAAAAATCTCAATAATTTTTAGATCATTACATGTTCATGACATTTAAAATACATCAGGTTCGTCTGGGTGCCAGTGACTCACGACTATAATCCTAGCTACTTGGAAGGCTGTCAGGAAGACTGAGATTCAGGCTAGCCTGGGCAAATTGTTCATGAGATCCCATCTCCAAAATGACCAGAGCAAAATGGACTGGAGGTGTGGCTCAAGTGGTACAGCACCTGCTTTGCAAGCATGAAGCCCTGAGTTCAAACTCCAGTTCCACCCCCCAAACAAATATATGTACATAATATATGCATACATATTTATTGTGTTAAAGAAAATATTATGTCTAAAATTAATTTCACCTGCTAGGTGTGCTATGCATGCCTGTAATCCTGCTACTTGGGGGACTGAGGCAGGAGGATCACAAGTTCCATGCTAGCTGGGCCACTCGGCAAAATCCTGTCTCAAAATAAAGAAAGAAAAAGGAATGGGAGAGTAGCTCAGTGACAGAACATTTGTGTAGCAAGCACAAGGCCCTGGGTTCACTTCTCAGTAACACACACACACACACATACACACACTACCACCTGTTTCATTTTACTTTTTAAAATGTGGCTACTAGAAAATTCAAATTCCTTATGCATTTCATGTTTGTATTGAGTAGTGCTGGTTTAAGTCATGTACTCATTGGGATTGGTACAGGGTGAAGCCTGCCTCTGTGAAACCTAGCTCAGTTGGGAGGCTCCAAGACTACCTCTGCTTCAGTGACTTGCCCCCAGGACTCACAGAGCCCAGCATAAAATCCTTCTGATGCTCTGATTTATTGCAGTAAAAAGTGTCAAAATCAGCAAAAGGAAAAGGTTCAC